ACACAACCATTCGTGTTTTTTATACCAAGTTTCTGCGCAGAATGTACGCCGACGCTTTCCTCCGTCATGGGATTGTTCCAGTGAACAATTTTTTGGTTGATAAGGCCCAAGACGTTGTACCTCTAATTTTTGTTCCAGCGGCAGCTGCGAAAACGGAGTGCGAAGTAGTGCATCAACCTTATTCATTATGAGGTCTAAGGCTAAGAAATGCGAAGCCGGAAAGAAGTGAGGAGCTCAAAAGGAATGTGGAAAATCGAAAGCAAATGGACTAAAGGTCTCTAACTGATTCAAATAGCGAAACAAGCGACAAAAACGAAGGCGAGGAAACTATCAACTCTTCAAGCAACCAACGAACGAGAAGGAATGCGTGAATATGTCAACACGTTGTTGTAAGAAACGTCGGCATTGTGTCGTCATAATTTCGGGGCTAGCCCCGATGATTTAGTAAAAGAAACAGAAAACAAACGAGACAAACGCGGCGAGTGGAAGATAAAAGAGAGAATACGATATACAATGAGCAACCGGGGCAAAATCGGCGTCGCCCCGTCGACGTTCGGCGAAGGCTTTGCGAGCGAAAAATGAACCATGTCGGGAGAATATGGCTAGTGTAGACAGTCTGTGCAACCGATATTGAGGTATTTTTCGAATATTTTTTATTATACCGAAAAAACAACCGGGGCATTGCCCCGGTTGGCCCTATTGACGCGCCGCCACTGGTGGGGCCTATAAATAGTAATAAATAAAGCTCTACGAATAGGATTTACACAGGGTAGATTCGGTAAGACTGTTTAGGCATATGGCAAACCACGGCCTCTCGCTCGATTACCAGTACATGATAACAATAATCATCCGTTTTTTTAAATTAACAGGTGGTATAAATAACAATTCTTAGATTTGTTGTTGCAAAGATAAATTAGTATAGCAATATGTTGATATTCCATTTTTGCGAAAACTAAAGGCGAAAGGTTTTCAAATTTAGACAAAATAATGTATTTGATCGTATTTAATTTTTCATCCTGTTCATCGGTGAATAATAATAGCTTTGACATCGAATAATAACGTATAATTCAATGTCGAGGCCCCTAAGGCTTGTGATCCATAGGCTTCAGCCAACCATGTCTAATGGTAAATCCCTCGATCTGCTGTTTTGTCATCAAGCTGAAACTTTTGTGGTAAGAATAACTTGCATTATTGGACACGTAGTGGACATAGCGATCGTTTCAATATTATGTTGTTGTTGTTCTTGTTCTTTGACACGTTTTTAAAAAGTCGCTTTTCTCTTTGATTACTGGACCAATTGCTTTGAAATTTTCAGTGGTTAAAGATAAAAATTTTCTTTAGAAGGCTCTTACTTTTTTGTTGTTGCTATGACGTCATCAAAATTATTGCCATTAGGCGGCGCTACGTGTCCATATATTTGAGCATAGCTCTCTTGACATTTCATGCTCTCGAATTAGCTCTCTCGTATGCGGATTCAATCATCGGTATTGTTGATGTTGGTGACCGTACATTTGAACCCACGTACATTTGAACCCATGTGTATATTCGCGGGTTCAATCTATATGCGGGTGCTAAACCCATAGTTTAGGGTTAGTATGGGTTCAAATATCCGTGAAACAACAAAAATTTCCATAGGTGCAATAGTATGCCGGTGCAATCGTCGTGGGTTCAAATGTACGTGGGTTCAAATGTAATGGAACCGTTGATGTTATGTATTAAATTTGATGTGTAAACATGTGTGGCGCCATGTTTTATTGTTTGACAAACTTGTGGGAACTTCTTTTCCGTTTTAAAGACAAAATATCGTTTCGATTTCGAAACACCAATGTTTCAAAAATGCCTAGCCCCAGAAGAATTTTTATCCAACTCAGGGACAGTAGAATTGCATTTAGCTCTGCACCATAATATATATGATGATCATAGCTAAGACAATGCGTGGCTGTGTTCAAGGAACGGCAAACGTACAAGATAAGAAATAACATATTTACACAAAACCACCGCTAGGGTACGATCAATGACGTTATAAATTGTTGAAATACCGGAGTCTTGGTAATGTGCTAATCTCAACTTCTCCACAGATTGTTATTTATGACCTCAGACTCATATGCGATGCTGATGTTTATATGAACGCAATATAAATGCTCTGACAATGGCCTTTAGACGTTCGAGGCAACAGCACCACCACCATTGCTTGGTTATTAGATGCCGCCGCCTAACCCTACTTTATCGTCATTCAATTTATGAAAAACATATATTGTACGGGAATTTGCCGAAATTAGTATATAACACAAAGACACTAGATATCTATTAGCTATATGGAGTGTGCACTACTCAATAATGTAATGGGTAATTTTGATTATCATAAATATTTTCTTTATTCCTAATCACAATCTTGTGCCAAATGGTTGTGATTTGCCCCAAAATACCGCATAACACAAACGTTGTAATTTTATGGTTTTATTCCCAATAATCTTTAGAAGCCTACAATTTGTGGATTCCATTCGGGGGCTATATCAAAGATATAAAAACATAAGAGCTGGTCTCATGTAGAATGCAAATATTCTCAGTGACATTATTATGCTACTATATGTGCACGAAACAATATCTTACATGATTCACACCCAATTGCGTAATTCCTTTTCCAAGGCCAAGTAAGATTTATTCAAGTCGAATCAGTTTGAATCCGTCTGTTGCCTGGCTTACAAAAAACTATTTAAAAACTACTAAATGCCTCAGAATTGTAGAATCAGATGGGCCCAACAGAATGTAACTTCAGACACAAGTAAAGTACCTGGCCCTTGGAGACAATCGAACAAAATTATATGTAATGTGTGAAAGTATATGAGAAAAATAACAATACGACTTATTTTCCTGCGGAGGCAATTGGTGATACTGATGACATTAATGAAATGCCGGGTAATCGAGAACACCTGTATTTGTCCGATAAATCAGTTGTATTATCCTTTATTTTTGGTGTTCTGTATTAACTTCTGGTGTATTCTACTTCAATAAGTTTTTGTGACTTCGACATATTATGAGAGACAATCGAGATATGTATTCACCATTTGACGAAGCTAGCCGTATCAGATAATCGTTTTTGCTGTTGCGACTCGGCAAAGGTGACTGACCATGGCAAGTTTTATTGAAATGAAAAAGAGTCAACCGATAAGTCATACTTTTACAACATAATGAAATGTTATCCCATATTATCTATAAAATATTCAAATATTGGCTCAGGATGTTAACAATGCTATAGGTTAACAGATTTTATATACTCTGCTACCAGTTGGCGAGGCAACATGATGGTTTTGATGGTAAGTGGTAATAAATTTCTAGCGAGCATCTTGCATCAGCCATGAAAAAATTAAAACATGAAATTCTTATCAAATAATTGAATGAATATTGCAATAAACAGGTATATATGTTATCGTCAATTTTTGATTCGGTGTTACGATACTGTAACAAAGCTAGTAGCTAAAATACAATTTGTTCCATGGTCAGGCCCTCAGCGTCACCACAGTTTCACGTTTTTGCCCTTTGCACGCAATAATAAGCAATTGCACGTCGTTGTTTTAGACCTTGTTTACTTGTGAACCTAACCCCTTGAAACACTGCAGTGACGCAGAAACATTTGATTATGATTATGACTCAACGTACTTGCGCAATATTACACTGAGTTGTCCCACCCTGCTGCCCAGTGGTTATTTCACAACGCAAATATTTACGGGGTGAGTATTATTTGTAGGGAGTGTGTGGCTTCATAAAACGTTAGATGCAACCAACCACATTGTCTTGGCCAATTATTAACAAATTATTGCGAGATATGTAGCGACAATATTGTAGTAACATTTTTCGCTTTCGCGTAATTCAATTGCTTTTATAGGCATTTTACACAATCGCCCGACTAAGAGGCTACTTTACCTCATAAAGTTTCACAACATTAACGGTCTTACACTTTAATCCCTATAAGAAACAGCCAGATGGGAGGGTGCGTATTGTTGCAAGAAGTCATTTTGAATCTAAAATTGAAATTCAGATTTGTTGACGCAATGGAATATAAGTTAGCGTTTTGAAACAAACACGTTGAATCGGACTAGAGATTCATTTCGTGTTTTTTTTAATAACGAAGCTTACAAATTTATGATCGTGTATCCAGAGTTTCGTTCAATGCCAGAGTTCAACCAAAGTGTATCAATCGTATTAATGGCCACCTTCATACTGCGATGTTCATAAATTTAACTTTAATATAAGCAATAATTTACAGATCTTCAACGTGAATTAACCGTGAGGCTGTTTTCTATACCCATTATATATGTGTATATACATTGTAGATGATGTCTTTTTATTTTTGTCTCCTCAGTTATATAATAATTATCTGGGGTCTTGGGACAGAGGGTCTACGCCAGAGATCAACATTAAGATAAATTTGTTGGATTCCTAAAATAAGACTTGATCTGTCGCGGTCGTCTGGGATACGGAATGTGCAACGCCCATATGCCTAACCAAGTCGCGACATGTCCTGTGTATTCAACGTAAGAAAAAGGTTTCTCTAAGTTCGAAAGTCAGATCTCAAAACGACAAGCGGAATATAATCACGAATAAATAGCCAGAGCGTTGTAGAGTCCTAGTGGTTCAGCAAGGGTTAGAATAGTTCTCCTAATTCTGTTTTAATATCGAAAAAAAATTATATTTTATCGTGGTAGTGGTACTACATTTTTGTCTACCGTCGCAATATTTAAAGCGAAATTCATGACAATCGGGGAATTAAAATTAACCGTGGTTTATTTCTTATATTCATTTAATTATATAGGTCGCCTATTGACGATAACTCATATGTATATTTGAATTATATATTTTTGAAGTTACGTTCTCGTTGAGGCAAAATCCAAAATAAATAGGAATATTTTTTTCACTTTCCGAATCGTTGAAATGTGTTATAAAAATTGATTTTCTCGAGAATAGCAGATGTGACATATTGATTTTTATCTTTTCTGTCACTTTTATTTTCAGGATAAGGAAATTTAATTTTAATATATGTTTTGAGATTCTCAACAGTACGAGAAAAGGATGAAGTTCGCTCTGATATTTTTGACGATTCTGATGACTTTCGGGCAACGATGCTGTGAGTGAACATTTTTCTTTTTTTATGACTGATTTTCATAACATTGTTTCTATATCTGAATAAAAAATTACCATGGCTGTTATAACATTGCTAATTCAATGCGTTTGAAACAACAAAAGTTAGTTTTTTTTCATTTGTTCTAAATTCTCGACCCGTTCCAAAAATTACTTATGGATGATTTTAATGTTATATTTATACAAACCATATTGAGCGATTTTGATATAGGATCAAGAGGGCTTCAAAGTATAAATGACTATGATACTATGCCGTCAATGAATTCAACAGTAACAGGAAATGTGATAAATGCGATATAATTATAAATTTTTAGTTATCTTCCCAACGAAATCATATTTTTTTTGTATACACAAATTGTACATATTGTTGTTATTTTTATTGTTGGGGAAATTACTTTTCTTCGAAACGAATGTACTGAACTATTTCAAATATTCAGTAATCGAAGATGGTTGAATCCGCTAAAAGCAGCTAACCTTATATTATTATTTCCAAATAGTCTCCAAGTTCTATGTGACATTATATTTTACAAAAAAAAATTCTGTTTTTTCCAAATTATGGAAACGCTTTTATTTGACATTTGAGCCTGTTATTTGGTATATATTTGAGCACTGCTCTCTTGAAGTTTCCTTATTTTAGTGTTTTAATATTACCTTGAAGAGTCAAATGCACAGTGAATAACACATGCCATAAATGAGCGATGACTAACAAAGTAAAATTATTTTCGAATAAGACCCAGTTAGCCTATGTCAAGTAATTCAGATACCTGAAGCAATATGTAAAAAAGTAGGATGAAATATACGAGGCTAATTCAAAGGAATATGGTCTTTTTTAGCAATTTAACAGGTCGACAATCGGGTAATACTTGTATCGTCGCAAAATCACCCGCGGTCATCCAGCGTTATGGTCACCATGACAACAATCGTAAATTCTAATGTGTGTGATGTATTAACTGTGTTGATAAATCGTCGGTAAGCATATATGCTGACGGCGTATTTTCGACACAACTGAGGCGCATGATGGGCACTTCCGGAGACCTCGTTAGCGTTGCTTAGCGACTGTTCAAACACCACTACAGAATTTAGTCAAAGTTTTAAATTCTTAATGGTGATTTGTTATGACACTTATTTAGCCTGTACGAATACAGATACGTGTTTAAAATATGAGTGGCTGTCGGATAAGAATATTTATGTTTGGTTCATGGTTGGTCAATCATATAATAATGTCACATCGAAAAAGGGGAATTTCCGCGCGCCTGTCTTGATTATTACAAATATCATAAATATTCTGATAAAATGTTTCTATACTATCAATGTGGGCAGTAACTACTATTTGCTTATTTTAATTTATTACGTTTTCAGAAGCCTCGTTATGTTTGGAGTTTTCGAATATTTGCTTCTCAGAATAAACAGCTAAACATCATATCAATCCTTTAATATATTGGTGACCTTGCGGCTGCGACTACAATCAATCGGACTTTGAGACTTCTAAATGATATAAATGATATTACATTTTGATTTATCGTGCCTACTAATGCATTTTGTTATTATTCACCAAATTGATAGGTTAAAAATAAAGCAACTGATAAAAAGTAATCCAAAATACCTAACTGTGTTCAGAATTACTTGCTTTGCAAAGTTAGTTTTGAAATGGTAGTACTAAATTCATTTTTACTTAATGGCGTTTTGGAAAATAGTTGATACCGACTCGATTTCCCACCGATTGACCGACACCAATAGATTTGTCTTTTGCTGATGATGGATGCATGACTATAATTTAACTTTCCATAATTTTAATCTAGAAACAAAAAATCATCCTTTTCATTAAAGTGGGATGAGCAAAGGAATTTGGAGTGAATAACGTTTGGCTAGATATCTGATCTTTTTTAGCATGAACGATATTAAATATAGTAAAATGTTTTGAGGCCACAATGAGACATGATAAGTAATCGTCGCGAAAAAAAAGCACATTGCGTGCACATCATCGTTTGCCTTGGCGTATGTGAATTTATGAGAACAAGTCCGGACAAGTGAGCGTTGCTAAATAGAAAACAAACATTTTTACTATTTGTTTGATATTGAGTACAAGGGAGAAATCTTTTGAATAACTGAAATGGATCACACAATGGATATCATAGTAAAATATATATTCTATGTAAATTTTTATTGTTCCGCTATATGGGAAATTTAGTGCATTCCCTTGTTTCTGTGACGATATTTGTTTTTCGTAAACGATTCTCTATTCCAAATGTTTCCCATTGTTGTACAGGCCAATATATTTAGACAGCGACTGAGTGCCTCGTATAAGTTTTGGAATAAAGTTATATATATGTACCAGTATTTTGTAAGATGACTCGAACACTGGAAAAGCGTATTAAAATATCTAATGCGAAAATGAGGACGATAACATTACCCTAATATACGTTCCATAAATCATCGTATACTTTTCAATTTATATATATAAAGCCTTTGATGTTTATTCACTGTGCACACCGTTATTTAAACTAATTTCAATATATTTTTGCGCGACAATATTTATCCATCCGGAGATCCACCTCATTATAGAATTTTCCAGATAACAGACTGAAATAAAACTGAAATCCGGTAAATTCAGGATTACAGATAACAACATCATTTATATTAGTGAAAATCCAGCAAATCCTTAATAAATTCTAGTAAAAACTAATATTTCTTAAAAATACCCTTGTTACAAGAACTAAATTCACTAACATTTGACTCTTTTGAACGGCAACATTGAGAGAACATCAGGAAATGATGAATGACTGTTTCACTAGCAAACAAATACGATAATTAGATCATATCATCGATATTGTAAATTTCAAACGTCATTTTTGTGCTATATATTGAAATATATAGTGATTGTACTCGTACGTGCTCATATTGTTACCTTTGTTTGCGAACCATTAGCGAACGATAAATCTTTTAATAATTTGTGTTTGACTTTCTGTTTGTTCTCGATAACCATTTTAATAAAAAAAATAATTAAATCAAGAATGAAGGACCAAAAAGTCATCCAGTAATTTTAATATAAATATAATTGTGTTTGACGTTAGATGAGTTTATTTACTGAAGGTCCGTTGTATCTTAAATCTACTTTCGACGTGACATAGGCATCAACCCACATTTTCTGAAATTCAAAGTGTCCCTCAATAAATGCTAAATTTATCTTTTCTTCAACCACAAGAGAATTCCGTGTAAAAGGTATGCTTTGGGTTACAGGAAATAATAGTTAATTTGGATTTTACTACGACAGTGAGCATGTTATAAAATACTCAATTGAGCAATAAACTTCGACAAACGAGTATACTATCATTGTCAACGCTACACCATATAAATACCTGTATAACGCAGGTACATGTATAACCATAAATCCTATTTATCAGAAAAAGAAATAAAAAAGATTGATGAGATTTTCTGGATGGAACATTTACGATGCTTGGTGTGTTGGACAGCATCAAAAAAATTTCATCCTGATCATACTTGATCTCTCATTTATGTGTGAATGTATCATTTAAGCGTGAATCAATCTTAAGATCTATAAATTACATAAAATTATATGCCAGACGATGATATTAATATCACCAAATATTTGATAATACTACCAAATGTATTTTCAACACATGGGTCTTATTGTTTGAATTACGACTTGTTGACAGATTCCTGTTTGTCAAGAGAAGAGTAAGACCCGTTAAAACTGGAGCCAACCGCAGTTGCCCCATCTAAATTCTTCGTTTTTGAGTGTGTTAATTGTTAACTTACCGTTTGATGATATTATTATCTCGTACACAGAGCGAAATCTACCGTATAAAAAATGCCATAGGTATGTCGTAATGCAAAGTGAATTTCTCATTTGCAATCTTAAAACTTTGGCTTCTTTGGTATTGAACAAAACGGCCTATATTTATATGCTGTCATAAAAAGCATCTTCAAAATTACAGAAGTCTTATTAGAAATTATCAAATTTGGTTGTACACTGTTAAAAATTTTTTTCCAAATTTACTAAAAAAAAATGGCAGCAAAAGTACTGGCCCATGTAAAAAAATTTACAGGCCCTATCAGTAGTATTATGAACAGTATTTTCAGTAAATTTACAGAGATTGATGGTAGCAAAAATTACTATAAAACTGTAAAAAATACTACTTTTTTGACGGCAGTAAACCTACCCACTAGTAGTAATATTTTTTTACCTTAAAATAGTAAATAAAATTACTATCTCGATGGCAGCTACCTTACCCGACAGTAGTACCATACAATACTAGCATGATGGTAATTTCTCACTCGCGATGACCGAACCACTACGAGAGTAGCAAAGCTATTTACTGGCACGACACAACAGTAAACACACAGAATATTACAGTTAAAATAAAAAAACGAGATTCTGGAAACGAAAATCATTTCATTACAATTGATATTTTTATAAAACCATAAATACACACTGAATGCCTTTAAGGCTTGTAAAACAGTTTCGAAAGAAATTTCAGAAAATATATGGTCTACAGTCAAATTTAAACACCTATTAGGAGACGTTGAAGGCTATCCATACAATAAAATGAGGGCACAAGTTCTTGTAGGACATAGGAATTCTGTATGTAATGGATCAAAATTGAGTTTCTATCGGCACTTGTTAGGAATCTGGTCTATACATTTCGAGGTCTATTTATTTATCTCAATAGATTCAAATAAAGTCAAACAAGAAAACGTTTTAGGACTGGGTAATTTAGTTGACAAACTTATTTTGAAATCAAATTTCTGGATACCAGGATATGAGACGCTGGCAAACGTGACATAATAACGAGACTATTGTAAGAATTTCACGATTTTTTGCACTTTACTCTAATTATAATGTTTCAAAATCAAAATTTTGGGAAATATCATGCAACCTATTTTGTAGCTATGGCAAGAGTTTTAAAGATGACAAATTCTAAAGTTAATTATGCAAGATAAGATTTCAATGGGCGTGAAGTCGAAGAGCGGGAGTTTGAGGATTTTGGTAGGAGCATGAGTGGGAGTTCTAAATTTTGAAGCTTGCAGAGTCGATAGAGTTAATCATAGTCGGAGTTTATCCACACTGATGAATAGAGTTTGACTGGACATTTTTAAAGCTCATGAGCTAGGAGCAGAGTTTGCAGAAGTTGCAAATTCGAAAATGTTAAAATTCATTAAACATGGACATAAAGTTACACTAAAGCAGTTAGCATAGCAGCAGTCAAATCTTAAAAGATCAGGGAGTCAAGAGTTTTAATTCATATTTTGAAGGAGTCTTGAGCAGGAGACGGAGTCATATATTTGCAAATGTGGGAGTTGATAGTCATGAGTGGAAGCCAGAAATTTTGTGGTTGAAGAAGATCACGGAGCAGAGTTTGTTTAAAATTATCCAGACTTCACACCCAACACACAGCTAAATCATTTTTTATCAAATTAATCGATCAGCGAAAAGTAGGGCTGTGAACTCGAACTTCGAAAAACTCTATCAAATACATGAACTCAAACCCCTGACCAGGGTAATGAACTCGAACTTGAGAAACTCAAAGGCATGTGAAAATTTGATCGAGTTTTCACCCCTGGTCAAAAGTGATGTAAGCTGCAGTAACACCACCAAAGTTTACTTAAACATCAATTTCTAACAACGGCACATATAACGCCTGTGATAGATTCACTCTTCTTGCAAGGCCGATTACTTTTGCATGAACGTCTTTGCCTTTACTTTTTTTCGACTTAGTGCCTCTGGGGTTTATGTCACCGAAGAACCTGAAAAAAGGCCGAACTTAAATGGCAAATAGGTTTCACATATGAAACTTGGAAATCGTCCTGTCATCTCACCACCAAAATAGTAAAAACACAAACACTGGACAAAAATAGTAAAAATGTCAGGTATTTATAATGTATCGTGCCTTGCCAGGGGATAAACAAAAAACTGTCAGTGGGCCAGGAATGCAATTGCCAAACCAGAAAGCTCCAGATCCTCCTAGCCCCCAGTTGTCGCAAATCGCAATAGGCTCATCCGCTCGTTGACATTCGATTGCAAATGCAAAAATTTCCTGCTACAAAATGGAGAGCACAGTGACATTGTTTGAAATTGAAGTTCACTAAAATAGGATTGTTGTGAGTTCATTTTTCACATATGGATGTAAAACATATTAGATTAGGAGGAAACGTGTGGTACGGCAAGTCAGTCATGATTTATTTTAATCATTAATCGGTACCGTACCGATGAATGGGTAAAATAAATCATGGCTATTATTAACCACCTAAAAATTGTTTAACTAATTAAATTATTCCCAGCCCTACTTATGGCCCAGTCCCCAGGGTATGGACACCATGAGTTTGTGCAAGTCCAGTCACATATTTCCTTTTCACAACCCATTTTTTGTATTGTATGTCATCAAATAACACTACATGACAGAAGTAACAGGTAATTCGTCAACAACGTGTACATTGTGCCAACAGCAAGAATTATATCAGCACTGTAGACTAGCACATTTTTTCTTACCTCTGAATAAAACCAAACGTCAGCAAGGCCTTCTTTGGATATTCTTTGTTGAAAACATAGAACGAAGCAAATTGAAAAGCTACCGCTTCAGAAAACGTTCTACAGGAACACACCACTTCTCGTTCAGCGATGACGTAAAAAGTCTCAGCAGTCGCTACCGTGTTACCTGATGTACACGGTATTTAAAGCATATTTTGATCTACCAACTACAAGTCTACTACTGTAACACAAACATGCTCAATTAACGCATGAAAAGCTACAAAAACCAACCGCCTAAAATAAACATCCACTAACGACAAAGAGCCTCGCTTACCGAGTCCTAATTCCTGAACCAAAAAAAGCGCGGGCTACAGGCACGTGACATTTTGAGTGATGTCATAATTGGCACATTACCGGTACTAAATGACCTATGACGGTAAAGAGAAGGATTAAAATATAGGAAACTTTGATCTCTGCAAAAAGTACCAGTACCGGTACCTCAATAATCAGACCACTACCCGTGGTAAATCCGCACCTACTGTACAGACCGTTGCTAACACAATCATCAAACTCAGACTCACGCTATTGCATACCTAACATACGTACCGCATTCAGTTTTCATGCGCACGCAACCGATGCTGAGCTCCCAAACAGCTTAGCGTCCCAGCCGAGATGGGCGGCATAAGGAACCTCGAAATAAAAAATGCTGCGCACGCAACCTGCCTCGTGGAGTTTTTGCGGATGAATATTTGAACAAATAGTTCCGCTTACTTCCGGAAAAGGAGTATTTAAATTTGCTTCGTGACTATATCGCATGCGTAGGTAGATAAATTCGTTTATTGGAAAGAATAATTACTCGTAAATTAGAGGATCTTAGATGTTTTTTACTTTTTCCAAGTATACTAATCTTTTTACTATTTTTCTGTTATATTAATTACTAACTGATCAGTGAAATTACTATTAATTAGTAAACTATTAACAAACAAGCACCCTGATTGGCTCAGCTAAGCAAGTCACGTGATTTCAATAAAATACTCTTGTAGAAAGTAAAATTCAACGAAAAATTAGTGAAAATTTACTAGAAAAATTAGTATATTTACTAATTTTTTTAACAGTGTAATAATTGCGCGGTACATGTGTATTATGAATTCGTAGAACTCCAGCATGAATTTCTGATCTATAACAAGATCAAAACGAGATATACGACACTTACGAACTTACAGAAGATTGGGACAATGCGATGACTTCTAGTGCTATGGTGCTTCGAGCCAAGGCCATACACAATATTATATTTGCGAGACGCTCATTCATAAATTTAATTTACTGCATGGCTTACCTATCCAGTATCAGGGTTATGTGTGTTTCCAAGCTAAAAGCCATCCTGTTTAACATGCGACTGTTTTAAAGCGAGTTTTTTTTCGGGTCGGGATTGTCTAAACTCAAAGGCGAAACGGCAAAAGCTACCACAGCTACGCGGAAATACAGCTCCGTCGCGTGACTGTGCAATATTTTGTTCTACGTATATATATTTGTAATTTTATGCAGCATGAAATGCGCTAATTCAAAGTGCTCACCAATTCAGTAATGAAAGAAGCTACTCCCCTCAAATGCTTTAGGAGCATTATACTTGACAAATAATTACGCCGTGTCATTCTATTTTATGATATTATCCTGCAAATTATTTTTCAACAGTACTGGTGCCATATCACACATCTTAGAAAAGTTTTCTGAGTTTATTATTCTCCCTATAAAAAAGTACTATAGCAATCCACTGACAATGATGAATTGCACACTGCTTTGTAAAACTTTCTAATATTAGTACCATTGCACTGACATGATGGAAGGTTTTCGATGGTGGTTCAACAATGACTTTATATAGAATTCAAATTGCCGAATTAGGGCAGTTTTAGAATGCCCGATTTTTATTTTTTAGATTCTCAAGAAACTACTGCGATGGTCTCACAGGAAACTACACCGGAGGTCATTGAAGGTAGGCATTTGCAATAAAAAGTAGTTTATTATAGATAAGTCAATGCAAACCTGATGAAAAACGTTACTAATTATGCTGAAGTAAAAAAACGTAAATGATATGTATTGTTGCTAACTTACTCTACTTTTCTGTTTTTCAGGTAGCGGAACTGAAGAACCACGTAAGTCACGAATATTTATAGTCTATTAAAGGGGATTTGATGAAATTTCCTTTGTTTGTTTATCACCGTTTTTTTATGGGAATTAAACAACAGTATCAAAACATGAATTGAATTTACTTCAACAACACGGCAGTCTGACTTTTTGCCGATGTTTTTTCTGATTCATTGTGTTGAATTTAACATATTTTTGCAGCTACATGTCCTCCAGATTATTGTGTTGCCGGTACGTGTTCAATTGTAGGCGGCGATCCCATGTGTACCTGTCAGGAAGGATACATAGGCGAGAAATGCGATTCCAAAGGTAATCTTTAAAGTTATATCATACTATAGCAAATATTATAAAATGTTTTGATACAGATGATAACGTGATTAAAAACTCGTTTACATTCTACATAAATATGGAATGTAGAGATATATTTAAGCTTAACACTCGATTATAATTGTTCTTAATGAAGGGTGTCAGGAAAAACAAGAGAAAGTCAGCAACACCGTAATTGATTCAAACTCCCTTTGCAATAACTCGGATCCAAGCAACAACACAATTCAGGTTACATTCTCGGCCACTGAACTTGGTTCGTCGTCAGCATCTAATACTTCCTGCACCACTTGCGATAACTGTGAGTTCTAGAAAGGAAATATAGATCGGAATTAATGTTCACTCCTGTCAAAATAACCAATCTTATTACGATCACGATCTGGAATATCTATTCCGTGTAGTTCGTTTTTAGCATTAATATATCGAAATGTAGATCTTTACTCGCCAGTGGTCGTACCTATTACATGTAGTTTGTTTCAACTGTTAACTCGTTCTTAACTGCTGAACTTCTGCTTGGATGCCCGCGCCATGTTTTGAAAAATGCATAAATTGAGTACGAATATAGGTCAGAAATAATGCTATTTTCGTTAAATGACCACATTTTGACAAGAATTACGCGCACATTCTGCAGTGTTAACGCCGATTGGACGAAGTCAATGCATTGAAGTCGACGGAAAGGCTACTTGGAGCACAGATCCATCATGGATCAATTGTGGTTCCACCACTGAAGATCGAGAACCAGAGGAAAATGCAGATATTTACGCTGCAGTGACCTCAGACACCAGCAGCATAACTGGGGAAGTAGCTGATGACTCTATTGCTGTTATTTCTGAAGTTTCCAACGCAACAACAGTCACCCAAAATGTATGTATATCAATATTTGTGTATTTATTGCTACAATTTGCTTAATACTCCACTAAAACTAAATCGCAAGCAAAGTCAAGCTGTCAGTGTAAAAATTAGAAAAACTAACTTTAACATGTTGCGTAATTCTCCCGATGTATTGCAAAATCATGTTGTTGGTATTCCTTTTAATTTCCAGACTTGTTAACTCACACAAACGTTTTTTATTCGCAGACTGCCGACGACGTCCTCACGATTACAAACAATCTTCTGCAGGCTACGAATCAAGATGCGCAAAGTACTGTTTCTGATAACTCTGACGTGTAAGTATAGTAGTAGGGAGATATCTTCTTACTGTTTCTTTAATATGTTTACTACTATACAAGAATCAAAACAAGTAGTTATTGTTGATTTGAAGACCAAATTAGCTATTCAACTTAAACAATCTAACTGGAAAGCTATATATTATCACTGCTTTCCATATTTAAAATTATGTTAATATATATAATATGTTTCATATGTCTTGCCAAGCTGTATATACCTATACTACATATATTGGTGCCACTTTGATATGTGTTTAATCTCACAAAGACAATCTGATAGAATTCAATTCCTAGTCCCAGCTAAAATTACACAACTTCTGAGAACGCATACCAAAGTAAGCACCCTTATATTTATATAAAACATAGGTAACGTTCCGGTTTGGCATCCGAGTGGTATACGGGGCTCAAATTTGTTTTATACTTACCTTGTCATATTTTTTTCATCTTTCAGAATTTTACAATCCATCGATAATACAGCGGAAAGAGTTGAACTGTCATCTGCTGGGAGCTATGATAGCTATGAGAACACGCAATCAAATATAGCCTTTTCTGTAGTCGGACAATCGTCAACCGCTAGAGCATTTACAGTTGGTAAGATATTTTTGTAAATTTTGAGCAACATTTTAACATAATATTTTCCAGAATTTGAATAAGTTACTTTAGAAGTATTTAAATTTGTATGAATTTAGTGTATTGAAAATCAGTTTTGACTTTTGAACTTCGGTAACCAACTAAAATAGAATTTTGATTGAAATTTTCATATTAGGTACCACATACTATTACGGACCAAGTGGAGATTGGGATGCGTCTTATAATCTAGCAGCCTCGTCCCTTTCTCTAAGGGAAGGGACCACCCCAGTAGCTACATCCAGTTACATCAGCTCAACTGTAAAAGACAGTAAGTGCATACATAAAATCTTAATAGTGTTACTTTCTCAAAAAGTAATCTGCCTTTTTACAAAAAAGGCGTGTACAAATAGACGCATGTTAATGTGTACCGTTACGGTATCTTCCTCAATATTGTATCCGTAACATAGCAGTATTGAGATTCTGGAGGTTCGCGGAAACTCGTTCTCGGAATGTCGTGATATTCAGCGAATCAGATTGTCCAAAATGTAAGACGACCGTAGAAAATGGGTTACGTGCACCGTAGCTGACAATCAGTGTGAAGGGCAGTGTTTACGTAGTCTTACGTAGTCACATATAGAACTTTTTGAAATGAGTAAACTTGTGGTGATGGATTCGATACTAAGGAGGTTACGTTCTTATGATTTTAAATCCTGTATGTATTACAAACTCGATTCTGTTTTGATATTTGTGTCAACTGTCCAGAAATGTATGAACAGCAGGTGATGAATATTCTTTGCTCTTTGACTTCCGGGAACATATTACACTAGTATATAACTATATAGCTTGGTTAAAAAGTTGTAGGGTTTTTTGAAGCAGTAGGCCCACCAAGTAATCAACGTTGACTACAATTTAGCATTTAATATTTTTTGTTGCAGTCAACGAACGTATCTCATTTAAAATTTACTCGGATGCAAATGAAATATTCACCACTCTACCTACCAACGTCATTTCTGTAAATGTCGTTTTTTCTGTGAGCGGAGGAGAAAATTTTGTATTAAACTTCAAGACCACTGAGAACCTGGTAACTGAATATGTGGAATACTCATTTTTTTACATTGTAACAGGCGATACATGTTACAGATTAGAACATCATTATCAATTTATAATACTGCACTAACTTACTACGTATTTTTTCCAATTCGCTTTAAATACATCGTCAGACAACAAATAAAGTTGATGTTTTGGAGAAAATCATACTTTTTCCTATTTGGTGTTGCATATTAAATGCAATAACACCTCTGTGTCAGACAAAAACAACGAAATTTAATCCGATTGATGTAAGTGCGACTCAATTATGTCTATAGTAAACATGTTATATGCTGTTTGTAAATGATACAGGGGTCTGCATGGCAAGACAACTACAATGTAACCAATAATGGAACTTATCGAGTGACGGAACGAGTTCAATGCATGCTGTGGAATAGAGATAATGAATGGATTGACGGTAATTGCGACACATATGCAGGAGACGGAACTTATGCGTCCTGCCGTTGCCAACAAAGTGGAGAATACTTAATGAGAACTGTAAGATAGTAATATTTAAAATATCAGAGCATGAATTTCACAATTCTTAACATGAACTTTACTTGTTTAGTATGAAGTTGTCAATAAAATTGATCAAGGACTGTCAGGCGGAGCTATAGCTGGAATCGTAGTTGGATCTTTGATAGGCGCGGCGTTAATTGGCGGGGCAATTTATTACTTTGCATTCCATAAAAAGGCACAAAAGAAAAAGACACAGGTGAACCCTTCCACTGGCAATTTAAACAATGTAAGTTGTTCTTTGATGAATTTAGTTCTAGTTTTTACAAGCATGTTAATGATAATTTAAAAATGTTTTTTATATATATATGGCTTTAATATTTCATATTTCACATATCAGCATTTAGGCTTTATAAAACTTTGTATTCTCACTTTTCATTTTTGAGAAATTAGAAAAGAGGTATTTAAATACCTTTTAATTCACTCATATATTACATATGATTTTCTTGATTATAAAAATCTAATATTGCTGTAAATAAACGGGCAAAAGCGTCGTTTATTCAAGTCGTAAAACAAAACAATAGAAATGCCCAATTATATGGACACGAAGACCAAAACGAACTAGTTTCAAATATGTTACAGTACCGGTAGTAATACAAAATAATACAAAAAGTCGAAGTAGAAAACGAGTCCCAAATTTTAAAGCAATTGGCCAGTAGTTAAAGGGAAAGTGATTTTTTTACAACAACAAGAATATCTAGAAGAATACTAACAACAACATACTACCAAAACAATCTATTTAATCAGCTTCACTTTGTGTCTAACACGAAACACAACTTTCTAAAATATAAATTTCATTTGTTTCGTTTTGCCAGGATCATGAAATGCAAGCGCATGCTAATGACGCCGCTGACAATGATGATTGATAAAAAGGCATTTGCATACGAAAGAACTACCAAATTATGATTTTTGTATTGGGACATTTCATCTTTTTACTGTTCATTCGTAATACGGCATTTTATAGATACTAGACATACTCACGCGCACTTAGCTTACACCTGGTAATATATTCTGTGGTCACACACCTGGCATTTCCGTCCTAATCTAAAACAAATATTTTTCAAGTGTACTTTGCTCTGTGAAAGTTATTTTTTTAAATAGTTAAATATTATTACATGGTGCCCTAACAATGAATTAGAGTTTCCACTGAAAGCTAATTTTGCAAATTCGCACTTTGCTTTAATAATGAGTACTTATGATTTATCTAGATATAGAACAATCTATTTTCGTACGGGGAGAGACATAATCAGTCATATACATTGAACACGATAAGATTACCCTTTTTAAATGTTCTAATGTCTAATGGATACAAACAGTTCGGAACAGTTCATACGATAGATAATTCTAATTTTGTATTTGTGAGACAATTTGGCTAAACGAAAGATCACCAAAAAAATGTTTTTTTTTAATGAATTTATTTTTATCTATTGCATATTCATCTGAGATCGAATTTGCATCAGTATTATCATTGATTACTTGAGTTGGGAAATAAACGAATTATTTTAAATATATTTACTAGATTCATTTGTAATTTGAGCTGAATGGCACTGCTTGAATATCACACTACAGTGAAACACGTGGCTTTATTGTGACCGAATATCTTTGAGAAATGAACCATGTTTTCTATTTGAACAATAAAGATCTGAATTCATTATCTCGCTCACTGTTATTTTATGCAATTCTTATTCAATTCATGATTAATTTTCGGTGATTTGTCAATGAATTTTTATTATAGGAAGTCCACTGTTATTTTCTCGTCAAAAGGTTGAAAAGTAGTCTATATATTATATACTCAATAATTTTGCTCCTTTTTCTAGAGATTATTCTCGCAATGAGCAGACATTCATTCATTTTGGTAACTATGTTTTGAATGTCAAATTATGATTTGTGAAGATTGTATCTGCTTTTTGTAAAATAAAAATATTATTCCGTTGTATTTAAAGTTCTCCAGGTATTTAAATCTCTGAAATATACACGGAAATAGAGAATAATATGTAACGGGACGAATTGAGAGGATTTAGCGCATACTTCATACTTCCAAAGTCATAATACCTGGGCATGGAGTGCTATGCAACTATAGTAATTTTTAGATATCCATTGTTAACATAATATGTTCCTTACCCCAATATGTGGGACAACTTTGACCGCAGAGAAACCGAATAGATTAGCAAAGATTTATTTAATTTATTTTGAGGGCTTTATCCTAAAAGGAGGAAACTAGAAAATATATCTTGAGAAAATGAGAAAAATATTTCTTTTTATCTTTTCCACATCCCTAGCTTCGTATTGAAATATTTTGGTTAATTTGTGTTCAAATTTTAATAAAAAAGCAAGCTCGCAATGCACCCTTTTCTATGTAACTTTTTCAAAATTTCACACATTCTCTCTTTGTCTTGAAGGCCTTAACTTTACCTCGAAATACTTGTTTTTGAACAAAATATTTGTAGTTTAGACGTTTTTGAACTGATAGAAAATTTTGTATATGTGTACGGGCTTTACTACCATCATACTCATAATAGAAATATCCCGCCTTTATTTACATGGAGAAACAAATAACGATACCTTTTATTAAAAAAAAACTGAAAGTAATCAATCAATTATGGCTATGCAGTATAGTGTCACTCGACATGCATTAAAATAAGATATTTCGTTTGCTGGACTATGGGGTACAAACAATGAATGCAGTGCAATCATTCCTATAAATAATGCTATGATACAAATCATAATCAGTGTAAAAAATTTGTATAGTATATTTGTGTCGATACAAAAGTTTTACAACACGTTTGAAGTCCATCATTTATTTTCTATGTAAGATTCATATAACACATTATCTTTAACTTCTTTTTCGAAGTTGTTACCACATGCTTCATATAAAACGTTATCAATTGTTTCTGCGTTTGAGGACAAATCAATGTTTGTATTTCGCTCCTTTACTGAATTCTGTCGTTTTCTGAACAATAAATAAAACAATATTTTACTTGAAAAAACATGCAGATTTTGGGTATCTTGAAAATAAATTAAAATTATAAATGAAAAGAGATTATCGAACCCCGATTTGTATGCTAAATAAATGATAAATTTAAAAAAAATTTTAATAATATTATTTTTTAATATATTTCCTAATCGTCTATTTTGGAAGATAATTCAAAATTCTTCAGTTTCACTCTTTTATCAATTTTCATTTTTGATGGATAAACCCATCTTATTCATATATGACAAGATTGTGAAAAATATTTGCCCTGAGACTTTAAAAATGATCCATTTATAGATGATCGAATATACATACCGATTATACATACCTTGATATACACAGTATCAATAAACTGAGTATCAATAGTAGAATTACGATCGCTAAAACGATTGCACCAATTACATATGGTGACATTAGATTAAGTTGTTCGAAATTTTCTTTTGTCGACGATGACGAATAATAATTGCTTGGTGTAAAATTCGTAGTTTGATTTTGAAATATTTTCAAATTGGTTGTTTTCAAAGCAAGCGTTGAGCTTATCGTTGTCGTTGTTGCTATCGAAGCCCCATAGCTCGCACTCGTTTCAGCTGCAGTTGTTCCTGGAACTTAAATTTTAAGATTTATGTTACCTTAGTTTAATATCTGGAGGTAGTTTTGAACATTTTCGCAAACGGAGTAGAATAATTCAATTTCTCGCACGTACATTCGAATTTACTACACGCAATACACCATCAAACCCAGACATGGACAAAGTACGGCCCGCTGGCCAAATCCGGCCCGTTGGGTAATTTAATCTGGCCTGCCTGATGCTGCCACAACCAAACTGAAACCAAATTTTGATGTTTTACCTAAAAATAACTCAAAGAATTTGTTGAGATTGCGGTTAAATTTAGTTTTGGCACGAAGCTTATGGTTTTCCATTGTTGCTTTTGTAACACTGTAAATATTGTTCATAAATGGTAAATTTTCACGTCACACTTATATATATGGCCCACCAGTCTACGTAGGCAAAATTTTTGGCCCCTGGTTCAAAAACCTTGTCCAGCCCTGATCAAATTTTTTGTGAAAAGTGGAATTGACGATATACTTAAGCTATTCAAATAAATACTTTTCTTCAAATATTTTCTCACTTTTTGAACATGGTTCTGTTACGTAATGTATCTCGATTCCATTTTCTAAACCCTTTTCGTATACGATTGATGCGATTACATCAAAATTGTATATTTCCGCAACGTCACAGCCAGATATGAGGACCTCGTCATTATGACAGTTATCATAACAGACTTCAGAGGCAGTTTTGAGTTCAACTGTTCCAAGTTCTGTGAAATTACATTCTTTTTTATAATACAGTATTGAATAGAATATCTGGGCAAAATATCAAAAACAAGACGATAGGCGCCCAGGATCTCCGCTGATGCATGAAGCGGCACGCACTTCAGTGAACTTCAGGTACTCCTGAAGTATGCGCACCAAGATGTCGCACATTACTAGAGTGATAGCATAACCAACGTGAAAATTTTTTACCGGATCGGCAGCAGTTTAGACGCTACACACACAGACAGAAAGAACGACTGAGAATAAGGGTCTCCTAGAGCGGAGATCCAACAGACAGAACCACTCAGAATAATGGTCTCACGGAGCGGAGATTCAATATATATATAAAGATTTTACTTACTGATACTTCCCCTCTGCTCGGGTTGACTATGTTGGCTAGGTTCTTCTAAATATCGTATATCTAATTTAACCTTGAAATATGGAAAAGGTGTAGGATGTATTGTCCAGTAACATTCATTCAAGTTCGATGCATTAGTGAGTATCCCGGTCTCGTATGGTACAATAATATGTGGTGAAGAGCTGCAAGCATGTCTATTTTCGTCGGTTGCCACTGAAAATGCAAGAACACGTGTTCTCAGCAATGGGAAACCAGGCTGTGTGACAATTGTATTTTTTGTTACCACAGATTGGTAAAAAACATCATTTTAAATTTAATCGACTTCAGTTGAATTCAAATCGTTATAACGAAACCCATGCCGATTAGACGTTTATTATAAGGAAAGTTGCAAGCCAAATAGCTTCTGAGTTAGATGGCTGTACTTGTTTATTCAAGTAGCCAACAAGCTAACTTTTTTTAAACATATGCTAGCACAATTACCATGCAACATTAATTTATACAACAAAAACGACCTCAAAATATCAAAATATTTATATAAAACAACACACTTACCTGAAGTAACTAATAATGACAAAACAGCAAAAATCAGAGCAAAGTCAGGCATAATTATAAACGTACAAATTTTAACGCTGCTGTAGAGCGCTAAATAAAAATTTATTGATTAGTAAAAGATTTTTTTGTCGATCATACTTGATCAACTTCATTACAATTATATGTTCATTGATAGCTTATGCTTCCACGAATTACGCATTGCATGATTCCTCGATAAAAACACGTGATGCGACTTACTACACATCCTGTTTCGTTTTGCGACGAATTTTGTTGGAAGTTATGAAAGTGAGTCATGTCAGACAAGAATATATATTGAATATTACTTTAAAATTATTTATATTACTTATAACATATTTTTCAGTTTCAGAATGTTTTTGATAATATATTTCAAAGTGATCTCTCATCCATGGCATTATTGTATGTTGTAGGTTTTTTTTTGAAGGCTTGGAATTGGCATAGCATTCTATAAACATAGGCTTACCATACGTCCCGATTTAGGCGGGGCAGTCCCACTTTTCAACGTCTTGTCCCGTAGTCCCGGCCGGTCAGTCAAAAGTCCCGCTTTGGCGTCCAGCCAGCCATAATACACGGACCCCCCCCCCTAAAATTAATAGCGGATAATTGCTACACTCTTAAGCCTAAGGGCTTTTAGCGTTAACGTAAATTCCTTTATTTTTTGAACTGGAACCGATATTTAGAGAGACAGCGCAACGAGACAGCTTTTACATTTTATGCAACTCAAATGGTAAAGAATTTGAGCTATGAAGGTTTTAGTCAGAATAAGTATTTGAACAACCGAATAGATATGATGAGTAATCATCAATGTTAAAATGGAAAGTTTTCACAAATTTGCTCTTTTTCTTGCGTATGTAACATATTAATCAATTTATAGAAAATCATTCTAATGATTTTCTTCACTTTAATAGAAAAAAATGAGCCTGTTGCATTCATAATTGTTTAAATGTTTCTATCGCCTGATCTGTTCAGGCTGAAACCTTGGCGATGAGGATTCGGACGAGAATATGGTCAATGTGATATTGACGCTATCATAAGAAATGAGAGCAATTCTTATTTTACTATCCAGCTGGATGTTAGTGAGTTTTATTGTCTACTCCACAATATTCAATATCGAAAAGTAGGCAAACGGCAATTTTTTCAGTAGAAGACTTCTGTAGATTCTTTTTGCGATCGTTCAGATCGTCTTCATTCAGAATTCTTGATCACGCAAGTATACATATAGGCACCTCGGGGTGCAAACTTTTCATGTTTATGCAATTCATTCCATACTGTTGCAAAGATATTTCACTCGATCACGATTTACCTTGTTTATTTCTTCTTATAGGCGGGACAAAGAATGATTTACGAAAAAAAATGCAAGAAACTGTATTAATTTATTTAGTTGGGGAATAATTGCGATGGTTACTTCAGAATTGGGTCTAGTTATAAATATGGGTATACATTATACATTATATTTTATCTCCAAGAGCCGATATCACAAGAGCGTGTAATGATTAAAAACAACAAAAGAGCTCTGCTCAAATATCTGTACACGAAAGGCGAGAACAAATATTTTATCATTAATTCCCCGAAAATCTTATACGGTAACTTACCAGTATCCATATCGGGAGGCGGACAACTCGACTACACGGACAATTCATCACAGACAACTCTTCTACCAAGACTAGCGATAACGAAACAGGGACTGTCATAGCTTTTCCAGGTCCTGTGACGATGATTCATTTTTCATGATTCAGTTTCAACGTGAATTGAAATACCAACTGATCCGAGTCACTTCTGTATTACCAGATCAGGTATCACAGTCTACCGTTCCCCATAAAAAAAACTTCCCAATCGCTAAGCACGAGATCCGCCGACGTCCGCGGAACCGCAAGGTGCGCAAATTTTGATGACGTTATAGCACACAAAAAACGAATCCCTTGGCTTAGAGCTCACAAAAATATTTAAAATAAATAAAATCAATAGCCTACTAGCAAAAAAATACAATCTTTAATCACGGAAAATTTCAAAGTAATTGGTTCAGTAATTAAAGAGAATAGCGACTTTTTTCATAACGATGGGAAGAAAAATTCTAACATAAAAGAACAACAACAACATGTTATCATAACGATTCATAGGTCCACTCCGTGTTCAACAAAATAGCGATGCTCAAATCCATGTACGGTATCTCAAAAATGTCTTGCCCCGCTTGTTCCCCTTATCCCACGCGTTACACTTGTATCATTTGTCCCACTTGTCTTACGTGTCTCACTTGTTCCACACTTGTTCTTAATACTTTGCTTTTCCATATTTGAAATATTTATATATATATAATATTCAGGTGGATAAAATGCATTTTGACATATTTTCTGTCTAGTTTTCATTGGAAACCTATTTCGATGAATTGTATGCACTTGGGAAAAACATCACTTGAACAATGAATCAGATAGAGCCTTTTTTTAATTTATGAAAATTGGTGTAAGGGTGAAATATACCCGATTAAACTGAAGATTGTAATTACTATTTATGACAGGTATTCTTCAATGAAAAAATTGAATGGGTATACATACATTAAGATAAAAATATTTTACATCTATTCTGACTATTGAATTAAAACATTCGACTGTTCGATTGTTAATGGCGGAGTGATGACATGATGACAAGGTTATTTAGGTAATTATACACTTCATTAATTAATTAATACACTTAACGTAATTTTAACGACTACTTCGCATAGATATGAGTATATTGTCGATTGAATTTGAAGTTTAACATAACTTTGATTGTGACATTATTAACAAGTAGTCTATAAAATGTAGTATTTAATAATCGTAAGACACCATGTTGTCCGAGTTTCAAGAAATTCAGTGTCAGTAATATTTTAGATTACATGTGTCTACAGCAAGTTACTTTGTTTACCTGCTAAACACTTGTATCGCGTGTCTCATGTATCCATTTTCCCAAACAATAAAACGTTCCCACAAACTTCCATAATTTGTTCAATAAAACTGTTGAGACGCAATTTTAAATGCGTATTAGATTGCAAAGCAATTTAGAGTGCAACCGATTATTGCACTTTAAACTGTTAGCAATAATTCTAATGACACGTTATTTACGCATTTGAATCACATTGCGGACAACTATTTTATTCTGTCAGTCCATTACAATCCGATTGACACTTGAATATTATCGGAATATCACTTATCAGTATTGCAATATCGGCAATATCGTATTTTTGAAATATCAGCGTATCGATATCGGATCGGCATTGGTGATAAAGCGGTATCGGTATATCTTACTACATTCAAATTTTTGAATTAAGAAATATTTTTTCATAAATAGTAATTACAATACTTTTATTCCAATCAGATGTAGTTCACCTATACGCCAATTTTCATAACCTCGGAACAAGTAGGACACATAGAACGAGTAGGACACGTTGGACAAGTGAGATAAGTGGGACAGGTAGGACACGTGGGACGAGCGGGAAACGATATTTTCTCAAGACACCGGTATATGGATACGGGTATGCAATTTGTCACAGTAGCCTACCGGTACCGTATCGCAGCCGAGCAGCAGATTTGCACTTACGCGAAAGCGAAACCACCACAAGGAGCGCAATTTATAATTTTGACGACGTCATCGCACACATAAACGAATCCCATTGAGGTCACAGAAATTCTTGAAATAAATAAAAATTATAGCCTTACAATAAATTTCAAAGCAATATTTCACAACAACTACAAGAAGAAAAGGATGCCTAACAAGATCAAGAACAGCGACATAATAACAAGCGATCCAGCGAAAAAAACAAAAAAAAATTTAGGATTTAGTTTTGAGTATTTTCAGTATTGTTGCTACACATATAAGTAGAGATTATTTGTAAAAAATGTTCAATAGATGATTAACTATTCTTTCCATAACTTCCAATCTGCCTGAAAATATTTTTACCAACCTGATTAATATTATGAAGAGTTCAAGAATTTCTTAGAAAGTCACATTTTCAAACTCTGTGGAAGCTTTAACTTCAAATACAGTAACTACCAATTTCGCAGTTCGCATGACGTAATTTGACCAAAAACAGCTAATTGTTTGCTACGAGAACCGCAGTTACAAACAAAAGAAATCAAATACGGTCCGTCCCCGCTCATTGAACAACTTTTACATCTCTTCGCATGTTGAAGATGATATCTTCAGTGCACCAATTGCCTTGCCAGACAATTACGGCACAAATCAAAGATTACATTGATAAAAATTACTTAATCTACTTTGATTAGCACTGCTGACGCAGCTTTTTTCATATTGGACTAAAATAATCAATACAGAAGTTTTTAGAGAATTTCGAGGGAATGTAAAGAGTTGCCCCCTAGCTATAGTATTGTAGACAATGAGTTAGTTGTGCATCAGAGCAAGTTGAGCTTGGCAGTAAAAAAATACGAGTCAATTTTAGGGTATACGAGAGAATCTCTAAATCGCCAACGGGGGTACTAATAAACGGAAATTTATATATGGAAAACCGAGTCGTATCGCATTCCTGTCTGTATCTGTATATTTTGTGGATTGTGAATTATGATATATATATATATATATATATAAATTTTCCCAATTTGAAAGAAAATTACATGAAGAGAAAGAAACATGTTTTCCAGATTTGTAAACAATAACGATTTCACTAGAAATTGGTATAAAAATGTTTATGCTAGAGAAAAAATCTACAAAGGTGTTGTGAGACATTGCGTTCCTAAAGCGGTAAAGCGCTTTCCATTTGAAATTTCAAGAAGACGCTAAATATAGACCTAAATATATTAGCGCCTGAAAAGAATGAATTCGTCAACTTGCCCCGTCGTGAGTTTATTTACCAAAATGTCAGTATAACAGCGGATTTGTTTGATTATGATTATTCACATACGAAAATGCATATCCATAGATATTGTATTGTATATATACAATGCAAACATACTCGAGACATTGCCGTTTATCGATCGTAACCGTGTAAATTCAAGGTGCTCGAATAAACAGGGAATCCGAGATTTTAGTTCAACCGATCTCTGATAGTAATTGAAGTTGAGTATTACCTCAGCCTTTTTTGCACCAAGTAAACAATGTAAAGTTGTAATACTATATTTGCACCGAACAGATCCAGGAACTTGACATTGAGCACAGGTTGCTGTTTAGACTACTTCATTATGAGTGAAGTATTGGTGAAGTATTCTGTGCCATCCCTTATAAAATTTTTGATTTAAGTATTTCACTTATTTGTTTTGACTCAAATGAATTAAACAAAGAGAAAAGTTGGAATATCTCAGCTAAATGCACAAATTATAAAACAGATGAAACTTTTCTGTTATATAATTTATTTAGTATTGGAGATAGTAGTTAGTGTAGCAATATCATTAGAAAGATACGCAGTGGACCTATAAATCGTTTTAATATTATGTTGTTAGATAGGAAATGTACATCTGGATAGTTTTGTTATTTGGTTGTTGTTTAGCATCATCTTGTTATTATTTTATTCTCTTTCTTCTTATTGTCGATGTGAAAAAAATTGCTTTTCTTATTTTCTACTGGATCAATTGCTATGAAATTTGTAGTGAATAAAGATTGTTGTTGTCACTAGAACGCTATTTATTTTTCTTTATTTCTAATTTTTTTATGAATCTTATGAGATTTGATATTTCATCTTCGCTAAATTATTCTATTTTTTTCATGGGGGCACGGTTGTGTAGCTGCCAAACACACCATTTTCCGTAGTTTCATTGTGATGCTAGAAGTAGGCTATTTCAATAAATAAAGATACAAAAGAAACAATGAAAATGATTTGAATCAGGCTCTTTTTTAAACAGGCTGTTAAACAAAACAAAAAATCATCTTCAAAAAATTCTTTGTATTAGTGTGCAGCAGTACTCTTGAGTCACTTAGAATAGCTGTCTTCACTATTGCTACAGCATTCTTGCACTAACATACATACGATTAATCGGCGCAAGAGCGTAGAAGGATAAGGCTCTCAAAAAACTCAATCGACAGCAAAAAATATGAACTCAAGAAATAGATTACTTTGTATTCTTGTGCTTCAACGTCACACATGAAACTAACTGAAACGACCAGATTGGCAAATATATCATAAAAATTTGTCTGAGAAATCAATCGAAAAATTTCAGCAAATGAAAAATTATTTCACAAATAGTTTAAATGAAATTGGATACAGCTGTTTAACAGTAATATATCAATACCATCAATAAACCAATGAAATTAATGATAATAATTCTATTTTTGTATTTGCAGAATTTAATAAAGTTGACAAAAACTAGCAGAAAACAACCTTTTCTTCTCATTTACTTATGATTACTTTTGGAATAATTACTTTCTGTTACAATCAGTGAACTTGGGAAAGCTGTCCACAATGGCTACCAAAGGCTGCAGTGTTGCTGCAATCATATTTATAAGTTTGTTTGTAAACACGTCTCACGGTCAGAACATTTCAACTGAAGGTATGGATTTAATGTTAAGCTTTGATTTAAATGGTATGAGTTAACATATATATGGTTCCATTACATTTGAACCCACGTACATTTGAACCCGTGACAATTGCACCTGCATACTATTGCACCTATGGAATTTTTTTTGTTTTACGGATATTTGAACCCATGCTAACCCTAACCCATGGGTTTCAGCACCCGCCTATAGATTGAAGCCGCGGATATACACATGGGTTCAAATGTACGGTAACCCATATATATATATATATATAAATGATGTGTACAATTTTGGATTAAAATGAAATACTGAAATAATGACTGAAAGCATTATCTTGAAAGCTTAGAGAAAACTTGATTAGAGAAAACTTGATAACCCCAGTAAGGAAAAAAGTTTTAATATCATATTAGGAGAAAAAAAATTGCAGGCTCATTGTGCTCATTCAAATAAGTGAATATATTATATTAATTTTTAAAATTGCTGTACTTTTCCTGATGTGGAATGGCAAATTTTTGTGGTTTGATTTTAGAAAAATTGGGGACGCCGAAAAACAGTTTGCGAATCACTGGTCTAGCCAGAGAGTTAAAAGTATAATATTCATCAGTGTGAAACTGATCTTTATGATGATATTTAATCTTCTTTTTTTATCGTGTTTTTCAATTACTATTGGTGAATTGATATCAGGATGAATAACGGAAGGATGAATCTTAACTGAAAATCGATTTCTAGCGCCACATAAAAGAAAAAAACGCTCTTTAGAGTGGAAAAAGTGTCGTCGCGATGAAATCGCAAGCGAGTATAACGCAAAATCAGTTTTAGTATTTGTATAACATAAATGAGTGAGTTAATTCAGATTCATGGCATACACACATAGCTATGCTTACATTTGATTAGGGGTTACAAATAAACTACTGTAAATAGTTTGAATAAATCACTATATAATCCATATAATGCTTCATGCAGCGTTTTGAGATTTGATATTGTTGCTCAATGATATTCGCAGACCATCTGTTGCAATAATGCGTATAGCGATAATGCCTCAAGGAGGTGACAATACACATAGACAATCGTCATAACAAAGAAACGAACTGAGGGTCGTGATACATGGCACGAGAATATCGTCACGCTAATAACCAAATTGCGTATAAGTCATAGTTAGCAATTTTAAGAAAAACGTGAAAAAGCTTCCTAATGATAATATTATGCCATTGAAAGAATTTCCCGTAGTCAATTTTTTAGTCGTATCCGGATTTTGAATTAATCTGTATGATGTAGGCACATGGCGTCATAATGGCGCACTGTGACTTACGCAGAAATGTGCCTATGACTTGGGGACATACGCAATTTTGCAGCTTGACTATATCCATCAGTCCTGAAAACCAAACATTCGAAAAACAGATGTAATTTACAATATCTACGATGTCTAATCCCCAAAACAGCTTATCTGTTATTTACATTATTTTTTAGGTTTGAAATATATATTCCATCAATATAACGCGCTCGGTATACCCACCGAAAATAACACTGTGACGGAGAAATGAAATATTTTCACAGTTGTTTCCAGAATGATAAAATTTAAACAATATTTGTTCAAAACCCTCAGGAGTTTCAACGAAAGTAAAGTTTATGGCTTCTAATAAACTGTCTTAGACACTCCTAGGTCTAGTACAAGCAGCTCAATCAAAAACGACTTTTAGTTCCGACTGAAGATAAAGATACGGGATTGAATCGAATTTTGAATTGTTATGAACTCTAATTAGGATATAATTTAGGGTTAATTTACTCGGTACATTGCGGAATTTATTTAAACGAAGGATCAAAATAAATTACTATAGAATGCATATAAAGCATCATGAAAAATTATTTTAGCCTAATGAAAAACTATATTTCGCTGTTTAATGATTTATTCTGCGGTAGGACCAACACACATTGCGATATTGCGTAGCAACCTTAAGGAGGTGTCAATACACATAGATCATCGTCATAGAAACCAACGAACTAAAGCAGTGGTCGGCAACCACCGGGCCGCGGCCCATCGCCGGTCCGCAGAAAGATTACTACCGGTCCGCAGAAAGGTGGCCTAAAACGGACAGAGCCCTAATAACACCTTTACAAACCCGACAAACACAACGCATCTGAACAGATGTCTGACTTCACAAACAATTTCCACGTCAATAGTTATGGCTAAACAAATATCAATAAAGCAATTCTCGAATGATTGCGCCCCAAGATCTAACAAAACTGAGAGTGTAGATATACCGGGAACATCATTCGCGAAGAAAAAAGACTTTCAAGCGCACGTACAGTGAATTGTATTTGCAATATGGATTCATATCTGCGAGTGAACGCAACAAAATTGTCCAGTTTGCGTACTTTGTCATAATAAACTCCTAAATGACGCAATGAAGCCTTAGAAACTTTTCGAACTATGAGGTTGTCTCGTCGACGACGAGATTGTTGATTGTTGTAGGGCAGTTCAAATAATAATGAGTTGAAAAGCATCTTTGCGAAATATCCCTCCGCAGTTTTTTGGTCCATTATTCTAAATGAATACCCCTACGTTTGCGGCGCTGTTACCTTTTTCCTTGTGTCAAGTCTGGTTTGCAATATTGACAAATGTAAAAAAAAAATATATTAAAGTAGGCTGAACGTAAGAAACACGTGTATCACTGTGGACCGTGTCTTCAAATTGGGAACAGTTTATGGCCAGCAAACAAATGCAGATTTCGCAATAAATAACATCACCTTTGTTTTGAATATATATTGTCAACATGAGGGTGGTCCGCCAAAATTTTGGTCAGGCTTTACCGGTTCGTCACTTAAAAAAGGTTGCCGACCACTGAACTGAAGGACTTGGTGCATGACACGAGAATATGCGTGTTATGGATTGATTACAACACGTTCGTGTTTCTGCATTATCTATGCAAATCCTTTACAAATTTAACAGTATTCAATTTCAAATCTATTTTGAATTCATTTGAATATTAAATTTTTTCGTATTTTTTTTCAGGTACCCCTACTACTCTGCTAACAACGGCTGGAACCGTGAATACAGGTAACAAATTATGGTAGAAATTTCCCCTGCTTATTTTATCAACTACACACATATATGTTTATTGTATTAGACTTAGACTGTATTGACGACAGATGCACTGAGTTGCATTTTTGAAAACATCCATACTGTATATGTAATTGTTGCCCAAACAACCTCTAAGCGTCGGGGCAGTACGTTACTAAAAGCTGTGACCTCTGGCTTGATAGCCGATTAAAAATATAATATTTGGGACACAGGATACCCATATGGATTCTCAGTGGTTTACATCGCCCATCATTTTCTGATCAGTCGGTGCGCTACTACGCATGTTGCCAACAAAATATTACATCTTCAATACAAGTATATAAAAAAAAAAATTCAAGTTATTACAGGGTGTATTGTGTAGTATCAAAGTTCTTATGCAAACGCTCGTAGTTGATTGTATGTGATTTTTTTTTATTGTGATGGGTCCTCCTGATAACATAAATTACTGAAAACATGTGAAATATCACTCAGATAGTTCTCCGAGCGTTCACACGAAATAAAAACATGTTTCATCAATGACTCACTACGAAAAAAGGAGTCTTATGTCAGATTTTAATTGTGAAAATATGTCTTCATTAAAATAAATGAAGAATTCACCTCGACCTTTGGCGGACGAAAAAACAAGATGGCGGTGAATCGAAATTTTTATCTGAATCGATTTGAATAATTTACTATTCGATTCGAAATGCGCAGCACTATGCACTACAAACCATATATTGAGCCCCACTTTGAATCACTTTGCAATAAACATATCCACTTGAATCCTTAGTGTTCGATTATGTAAAAAAAAACGACAATGGTATAATTGGACGAAGCTGTAAAATGCCATTTGAAAATTGTTGTTTTATGATACCATTATTCCTCGAACTCAATTTTGGAATTATATGACTTGAAGATATTTTTTATGATGATGTATATCTGCGCAGTAATCAAACTGTTTAAAAATTTAACGTTTTGTTTTTAAAGCTTGCTTTAACATTGCCATGAATTTGACGATGCGAAAGTTGTTATTTAGAAGCAGTATTTTTAATCGCTGTGACGGAGAAATGAAATATTTACACAGTTGTTTCTAGAATGATAAAATTAAAACAATATTTGTTTAGAACATTCAGGAGTTTCAACGAAAGTAAAGTTTATGGCTTGTAATAAACTGTCTTAGACACTCTTAGGTCTAGTACAAGCAGCTCAATCAAAAACGACTTTCAGTTCCGACTGAAGATAAAGATACGCGATTGAATCGAATTTTGAATTGTTATGAACTCTAATTAATATATAATTTAGGGTCAATTTGCTCAGTACATTGATGCTTTTATTAACACGGAAGATCAAAATAAATTACTATAGAATGCATATAAGCATCATGAAAAATTATTTTAGCATCATGAAAAACTATATTTCGCGTTTAATGATTTATTCTGCGGTAGGACCAACACACATTGCGATAATGCGTAGCAACCTTAAGGAGGTGTCAATACACATATATCATCGTCTTAGAAACCAACGAACTAAAGGACTTGCTTGGTGCATGGCACGAGAATATGCGTGTTATGGATTGATTACAACACGTACGTGTTTCTGCATTATCTATGGCTATGCAAATCCTTTACAAATTTAACAGTATTCAATTTCAAATTTATTTTGAATTCATTCAAATTTTAAATTTTTTCGTATTTTATTTCAGATAACGCGACTATTCTGCCAACAACGGTTGGAACCGTGAATACAGGTAACAAATTATGGTAGAAATTTTTGGAAATTTTTCCTGCTTATTTTATCAACTACACACATACATGTTTATTGTATTAAACTTAGACTGTATTGACGACAGACGCACTGAGTTGCATTTTTGAAAACGTCTATATATGTAATTGTTGCCCAAACAACCTCTAAGCGCCGGGGCAGAACGTTACTAAAAACTGTGACCTCTGGCTTGATAGTCTATTAAAAATATAATATTTGGGACACAGGATACCCATATGGATTCTCAGTGGTTTACATCGCCCTTTTTTCTGATCAGTCGGTGCGCTACTACGCATGTTGCCAACAAAATATTACATGTTCAATACAAGTATATAAAAAAAAACATTCGCGGTATTACAGGGTGTATTGTGTAGTATCAATGTTCTTATGCTCGTAGACGACGTAATACGCTCGTAAGCAACCGTGTAGATAGAATTTTTTCAATAAATGATTCTAAATAAAGTTCAGTTCTTGGTATTGACAATAATAATTCAATAAAGCTTTGTTCTTGACGTAAATGTGACTCAAGACTAACATACAAAGTCTGCGTACATGTTTGTTGTATTCGATTGCTTGTTTTTGCATTTTTTGCTTTTGAAATTGATTATTTTGTAGATTGACAATAATTTTAGTTCGTTTAAACTTTAAACCTTGTAATGTTGTGTTTATTCCTAAATTTTTTCTAAAAAGAAAGTTTACAAAATTGAGTTTGTCCGAGAAACAAGACTTTCACTTCGATATTGATTGAGCAACAAAATACATCGTTTGGATTATTCAAACATCTTTATTAATCTATAAACTATTTATAACATACGCTATGAAAATTATATTTCTGATACAGACGCCTCCATTTCTCGCATACTTATATATATAACCAACGCTTGTCGTTGGTCTTAAAGAAGACATGAACTCCCGCATTTCGTAGAAACACTTTTTGGCTTCTGTTTCTTTCAGGATATACAGATAGATAATGCACGTAGCAAGTTGTTATTGACACCACCAAATAACAGTATGATCTCATGTAAAACAGTGGGAAAATGTGTAACTTCTAATTGCAAAGGATTTATGAAAGAAACGCATTTAACCACGCATTGAAAGATATAGGCAATACCATGTAGAACCAGACTATAATACATTTCATTATGGAGATTACCGTTGGTTTTACAGTATTAGAAGCTTTTTAATTGTAATATTCTTGGGACGAAATGAAATTATTTAAAGTTTAATGAAAGTTATATTTATCATTGTAGACAATTATTTGTGTTTTTACATGTATATCAAAAGCATAATGTCGAGACATATTATGGTTAGAGTTTTGTTGCTTGCATGCATAACAGCAATTAACAGTATCTGTACAACATCGGCAACAACAATTGTAACACCAACCTTTGCGGAGCCAGGTAATACTAAATCAATACACTACTAAGGACTGGGCTTCTTTGTATACCTGATGATTTCAAAAGCGAATTTTTTTTTTCTGAATCGAATCTCGAATACTTGGAAGATTGTATGTGATTTTTTATTATTGTAATGGTCCTCCTGATAACATAAATTACTGAAAACATGTGAAATATCACTCATACAGTTCTCCGAACGTTCACACGAAATGAAAACATGTTTCAACAATGACTCACTACGAAAAAAGGAGTCTTATGTCAGATTTTGATTGTGAAAATATGTCTTCAATAAAATAAATGAAGAATTCACCTCGACATTTGGCGGACGAAAAACAAGATGGCGGTACATCGAAATTTTTATCTGAATTGATTCGAATAATTTACTATTCGATTCGAAATGCGCAGCACTATGCACTACAAGGCTATAAATTATATATTGAGCCTCACTCTGAGTCAGTTTGAAATAAACATATCTTCTTGAATATTTAGTGGTTGATTATGTAAAAAAAAACGACAACGGTATAATTGGACAAAGCTGTAAAGTGCTATTTGAAAGTTGTTATTTTATGATACCATTATTCCATGAGCTCAATTTTTTCTCTAAACTTAAATTTCTCCCTATGTCAATGATTTTTCAATGATAAATATATATATTTTGGAATTATATGACTTCAAGATATTTTTCATGATGATGTATATCTGCGCAGTAATCAAACTGTTTAAAAATTTAACGTTTTGTTTTCAAAGCTTGCTTTAACTTTGTCATAAATTTGACAATGTGAAAGTTGTTATTTAAAAGCAATATTTTTAATCGCTGTGACGGAGAAATGAAATATTTACACAGTTGTTTCTAGAATGATAAAAATGATAAAATTTAAACAATATTTGTTCAGAACACTCAGGAGTTTCAACGAAAGTAAAGTTTATGGCTTCCAATAAACTGTCTTAGACATTCTTAGGTCTAGTACAAGCGGCTCAATCAAAAACGACTTTCAGTTCCGACTAAAGATAAAGATACGGGATGAATCGAATTTATTTTGAATTGTTATGAACTCTAATTAGGGTATAATTTAGGGTCAATTTACTCAGTGCAATGCTGCTTATATTTAAACGAAGGATCAAAATAAATTACTATAGAATGCATATAAAGCATCATGAAGAACTATATTTCGCTGTTTAATGATTTATTCTGCGGTAGGACCAACACACATTGCGATAATGCGTAGCAACCTTAAGAAGGTGGCAATACACATAGATCATCGTCATAGAAACCAACGAACTAAAGGACTTGGTGCATGGCACGAGAATATGCGTGTTATAGATTGATTACAACACGTTCGTGTTTCTGCATTATCTATGCAAATCCTTTACAAATTTACCAGTATTCTATTTAAAATTGATTTTGAATCCATGTGAATTTTAAATTTTTCTTATTTTATTTCAGGTAACGCGACTATTCTGCCAACAACGGCTGAAACCGTGAATACAGGTAACATTTTTCCTGCTTATTTTATCAACTACAAACATACATGTTTATTGTATTAGACTTAGACTGTATTGACGACAGACGCACTGAGTTGCATTTTTGAAAACGGTTATATATGTAATTGTTGCCCAAACAACCTCTATGCGTCGGGGCAGTACGTTACTAAAAACTGTGACCTCTGGCTTGATAGTCTATTACAAATATAATATTTTGGACACAGGATACCCATATGAATTCTCAGTGGTTTACATCGCCCAATTATTTTCTGATCAGTCGGTGCGCTAGTGCGCGTGTTGTCAACAAAACATTTCATCCTCAATACAAGTATATAAAAAATATTCGCGTTATTACAGGGTGTAGTATCAAAGTTCTTATGAAAACGCTCGTAGACAACGTAATACGCTCGTAAGCAACCGTGCAGATAGAATTTTTTCAATAAATGATTCTAAATAAAGTTCAGTTCTTGTTATTGACAATAATAATACAAGCTTTGTTCTTGACGTAAATGTGACTCAAGACTATAACATACAAAGTGAAAGTCGTTATTTTGCAGTTTCAATGTTTGATGATTATTTTAATGCCTGTTTTAAACCAAGTATAAGAATATTTACACAGTTGATTCTAGGATTATAATATTAACGATATTTGTTCAAAGCGTATCATTGCTTCCTTCAAAGTTCTTGATTTATTGTTAGTCGTTTTATTTGAAACCAACAATAAAACTTGTCTATACCAAGACGTATTTTATGATTGTTTACAATGGAGCAAAACTTTAATTTGGAGCCCCACGTTTAAATTATCAAACGTTGAAAGCGGTTGCAACGAAATATTAATTTAAATTTATATTGACTCAAATCAGCGTCGACTTTAGAATAATCCCGATATACACTAGTTCATTGCTCTTAACATTTGAACGGTGGGTAAAAATTAACAATATACGCTGAATGAATTACTATACAATGCATATAAAGCTTTCTGCAGCTTTTTGAAATTAGATTTTGCTGTTCAATGATTCATTATGCGGCGGTATCGACAAACATGTTACTGCGATAATGCCTAGCAAATTCATCGAGGTGGCAGTACACAAAGATAATCGTCATAACAAAGCACCGAACATGACTTGGTGCATCGCAAGAAAATATATACATTATAAATTGATGAAAACACTCATATTGCTATTGCATCATATATGCAAATGCTTTAATAATTTTAACAGTATTCAAGGGTTTTTAAATTGATTTTGAATTCCCGGCTAATGATTTAATCCATTTTTGTTACCACAAATGTTTCAGTGCTATGACTCGCGGACCGCGACCGAAGCGGTTGTCAACGATTTAAATATTACCAGTCAATAGATGGATACCCAATATCCATAGGATAGTAGTGAAGATGCATCATTTCCGGTTAAAGATTTAATGCGTTAATTCTTGCGTAACACGACATAACCATATTAGCATAACGAAATTAGCCATTTGCTTGAATGGAATAACTGCCGTAATAGAGGGACTACGGTTTACTTGGTTATATTTGAATCGTGTCAATACGATAGTTTGAGCTATGGGAATATTTTTGACGTTGAAATATAACGTTTTATTTAATTATCAGTGTGGGTTACTTAAGTGTATTAAATTGTAGTGTGATTTACCAAATTTTATATAACCCTTATTAAATTACCCTACGTGAAATAAAAAAAGCACAATCTCTTTCCACGAAATAGCAAGTATATTTGTGAGCTTACGTTAGGTCATAGTCTAACTTCTACAGACAAAACAAGTTATAGCGCAATAAAACAGCGAATAAAGAAATGAAATACATGAGAGTTATCAAAGAATGAAATGACAGATGCAACTGAAATTTCAACATTGTTTGGAAGGAACATATTGGAAAAAAACAACATCAAACCATGGTGGGAAGTATTGCACACGCAATGTTTGACATTGCATGCTACTTTTGTGATACTCATATTTGGCGCATCTTTGGTACAAGAAGGCGTTTCGTGTCTCCCAGATGACTCTACAACATGGGACCACTACACTGAGGTTGAGGCTTCTTTCGTTTCAAACTACTGTTCCTATGAAATGTCGTTTTTCTCGGATTCCAGTTCCATGCAGTTTATGGTGGTTGTTTTCGCGTTGCTCGTACTTGCTTATTCAAATATTTGGTTCAATTCAGCATCTCTAATAAACGCAATCGAAGTCTTCTCCACGGCAGAAAAGAATTTTTGGTCTTTGAATTTGAAGTTGGAAAAAATAAAAGCTATGGTGATTACACCGAATACACAAAAGTCAGATGATATTGCAGCAGTTCACGATATTGTGGAGAACATATGGTTAACCAGAGATTTGAAGATGGCAGAGGCTCATTGGACATATTTTAACAGAATGTGGTGTGTTTTGTTTTGGCTGACGGCCGGTGGATTTGGCTTTGGATTCCTAAGTGTAAGAAATGAATTAGGATATTTTCAACGCGGAGTATTCAACTGCTCTTTAACTAGCACTTCAACTGGAATCTCCATGTTGCCAAATATTTCTCACAACTATGCTTGTGTCAATTATGGATCACAAATGAGTGATATTATTTTAACAGTATATGCAATATTTTCTCTTTTGCATGGATTGATCGCTCTAGGCGCACTTGTGGAAATGGGGCACATGTCTCTAGTAGTTTTCAGATTGATAAATAATAAAGACGGTACAAAAAAGTGTATGCTCTTCATGAGAAAACTGTATGTAAAATCTAATCCTTCTACCAGATTGCAATTTGCAAGCTTCATCGAGTTTGTATTTTCAGATGATCTTTGTGAAATGATGGGGCGTTATCTGCCCCAAGCAGTTCAATATGGTTTTAACAAAGATGACAATAATCAAGTTCGTAACATGCCGGATGCGGGGTATGTAGAAGTTGTGGCAAAAATGAAAGGAGCGGGATTTTTATTTAAAACTTTGTCCGAGATGTTTCATATAAATCCGAAAATAAATTTTGAGTCTGCCATATCTCATATTACATTTGAAGAATGGAATCCTGAGTGGAATGAAGATACAAATACTTTTCTTCGTACTTTATTTGATGCAAGGCATTTTAGATTATTTGTTACTTTGCTCAACACTTTCAAAACGGTTAAATTATTAGAAAAATGCTTCATCATTGAAACATACGATTTGAATATAATAGAACAGGATTACGAGGGTGATGCTACTGGTTATTCAATTCTTTACTACGCACTTCGTCGCCCCGAGGGACACAGAAAATTCAAAGAGACGGCGATCAAGCATATCTTGAAACATTCATTTGGATCTGTGGAACGACCGGTTTATGATGATGGTGTCTTTTTTACCGTGGAAGACTTCGTTGAAAAACAGTATCGAACCGATTTAACTTTTCCTTTAACGCTGAAGAGTAAACTTCTGAACATGATAAAGCATGAATCAGCCAATGCTCGCCCCACATCACATACTGCTAGACAATCGACACTGTTGTAATAAGGATGGCACAACATAAATTCCCTATCGATAATTCATGAATCAGATATGATCTGAAGCTGCATGTCAATGATATACCATATAGTCATCAAAAAGACGAGTCAAAAATTGAATCAGTAATGAAATCAGCCAGCCGAGAAAACATAAACTGCAATTGTTTTCATAGTAATTCTGAAAATATAGAGTTTGACAGTAACGTTTGTTCCCACAGAGCCTTGATTTGAGCCTAATTTTGGAGTGAAACTTTACCCATACAGTATGTGCGGAAAGGACCAAAACAAATGCTTCTGGCAACAATGGCTGAACTACCATAGGACTCGCATTATCGGCACAGCTTATCGAAAATCAATCACAAGTTAGTTCCCCTCGGCTATTAACAAGTCAACAGAAACTCCTGGACGTGGTTGAAGCAGAAGTGGGTTCTGTATTCTCCCGAATGCTGTATTCTCCTGCCGTTGTATGGGACATTGGAGCGGACAACGGTGCTATTAGCGAAGTCCGGCAGATAATATCAGATGTCTGGTTTGCAGTGAATTTATCATGACTGCATCATACGAGAAATATAGAGTGTTCACTTTCTAGGATACTTGGTGAGACGTTATAGATAATGGGTTTATTTGTTTGGCATCATGATGTTTTCAAGCATATGAAATGCAACTAATATTATTGCAGTTGGTTGGCGACTGGACACCATAACATGTATCTGTTCCTCTGCATTATCTTCTTATATTAGTTGTTAAAGCTTTTGATTCAATGTTGAAGTTTATTTTAACCTATGAGTATAGCTACATATTTTAATACCGTTGAATTTCGACTTTGTTCATGCTTTTCATTCGGATGACCGGATGGTAATAAAAAGTATTGTGGAATCATTATGCAGAAGCAATGTGCAGATTAATGCAATGGTATTTTTGTTTAAAGTGCATAAAAGTAGTAGGTTACTACGTGGATTAGGGTATACTACTCATGTATCAATGTCCCATACGAATAGTCCTGCTATCCCAAAATGCTATAAATTTTCAAGTAAGCAACATCGAAAAAAAAAGCTAATTAAAAAATGCACAGGGAGGGTAACAAGCGCGGAATTGGATACCGTTTAGAAAGCGTGTCTAAAAGATAATTTTTCAAGAGAAATTTCTCAAGCATTTGCACGGTACAGAATGTGGTTAGATTGATGGATATAAACTTGTTTGATTTATTCGATTTTCTGTCGACACTGACAGGTTGAAAGATTCAATTCAAAATCATACAATAAAGCAATAGGTAAAACTCATTGACTAATTGAACAAATTACAGCAATCCAAAATATTTTGAATTAAAATCTACGACCAAAAATGCTAAATTCTACTATTGAAACCCTACTACGATCAAAAGAGGTAGTTGATGATTGAGAAAAACGTCTGCAGGCCACTGAAGTAAAAAATGCCAATATTTTTATGGCTCAAATTTTGGGAGGATTATTTGAATTGGAAAAACAGAAAAATTTACTTTATATTCATTATTTAGGTATTTTAAATGCGAGACGAACAAGCCTGCTATGATATATTAATTGTGCGTCAATGAAAATCTGAACAATTTTTTTTGGTCGTTTGGGAGTAATTATCGAGCCGATTGCCAAGATAAAGATTTGATAAAGACCAACCTTAAACTGTTTTTTTATGCTCAAAACAAATTTTTAAAGTCCACTGATCAACTAGAATCAAAACATTAGACTAGCTTGTCTATAGATCATTACAAGTTGTGTTTGAATTTTTTTCGAAGTAATGCAATATACAAGTCATTACAAATGCATTTTTATAGTTGTATAAATCAGGGCTACTCAACTGGTGGACCGCGGTCCGAATCCGGACCTTTCGAGTATTGGATTTGGACCGCACCTAATTATTTATTTGGGATCATTAGCCCAACTTTTTGAATTTCCTATTATAAAATGACTTTCATAGTTATAATTATATACGAAAAGAACTATAACACCATAATAAACAATTTTAATTTGTTACTAATCATTAGTCGGTCGAGGAAGTGCTCTTTTAAGGATGCCGAAATATCATTTCTGGAAAGACCGGACCCAAATAATTTTGAAGTTTTGTTTGCGGACCTTCGATAAAAATAATTGAGTAGCCCTGGTATAAATGATACTGTAGGCTCTACAGTGTAGGGCATATATCTTTATTACCACTCTATTTTGAAACTATTCTCTTCCGCGTTCTGGGCAATTGCTTGGTAAGTTTTTCTTGACTGAATAACTAATCCATATCTTCTATGTAGACTGCTAATCAGCCAACATGAAGTGGTACTGATTTTACTGAGTCGTCTAATCGAGTTTTAGTTTGTCAAGAAAAAAACTCTCAGGATATGATTGAATTCAGGTCAAAAAGAGCGATCTATCACAAGCACACAAAAATTAAATTTCAATATTAATTTTGAATATATATAAGTTCTAAAATTCCTCTTATTATATTTTAGCTAACATCACTGGGCTGTCAGCAACTGAAGACCCCTCTAACGTTACCACCACCACCATCACCACTACTATTAATCCAAGTAACAATTTATCTATACTATTAGTTGAGTTTGAGGCAGATAAACTATCCTTAGCTCATGCCTTTGTGCAGGAGGATCTGTCTACGCATAATGTAAGGTTGCTGTAGCGAGTACACACACAACTATATTATGCGATTTATTAAGAGTCTTGCTGCACGCTAAGACAGGGATCAATAAACTATTATTTGATTATAAATTGCATAAAAAATGTGCTTCAATAAATCACACCACCTTCAACGATCTTTTTTTGTTGATACGGGGTTTTGGAAATTATTTCCCCATAAGGTGCACTTTTTCAACAGCACACAAGCAGTATGTTTATAAAGTAGGAACAAATTATGTTCAGAAAATTTCAAAAATACTCCAAAATGTCAGGTAACAAACAATTTGGGGCAATATAAAAGACTTTAGATAGTTTGTGATTCCTCAAAAGGTTCATTATTATTCCATTTAGTTAGGAACTAAATTAGTGAGCACATCCGCGAGATGGTGCGCAAGCTCCGCAAAAAATTGTAATATTGGAGTTCAGTATTCAGCTATATCACAAATCCTAATTGTTGGTTGTATCTTCAACACACTGTACAAATATTATCAATGTGAGTTAAGCCTATTATTTTATGACCCTAAGACAGAATTATCGGTTTTTGGATTCGATGACTAAGCAATATCGCAAAAACTTGATAAAAAAACGTAAACAGAATGCAATACTTATATATATATATATATAAATTAAAAATGACTTTTTTCATTGTGTTTGGAGAATTATTGTGTATATTTCCAGGTGCCTGTGATGATTGTCAACATGGAACTTGCGAGATAGAAACTGGTGGAGAATGTGTTTGCAACGATGGGTATACTGGCGAAAATTGTGACAAGACGCGTAAGTATCGATTGTTTCTGGTGGACATTTAAAACTATTTTAAGAATTGAATTCCACATGGAATGCATAAAATAAATTTATATTATTCCATATTTCAGTTAGTTGTGAAGAGAATGCGGTACTTCGAGATTCTTCTAGTTTACAATCTTGCAATGCAACGAGTAGTACTGCAGTAGACAGTACAGTTGTTTTCTCACAAACGAATATCGGAGAATCATCGTCAGCAAATGAGAATTGCACTACATGCGAAGGACGTAAGTTAAAATTATATTTGAAAACACTGCATTACTAAATTTGTATCAAATCCATTCTGTCAACTTTTTGTAAGTCTCATGTTTAAATTCTTCGATACCAAATATTATTTGAAATTTGAGTATAAATAAAACAAGTAATTCACAATAATGGAATCTCAGTATGTACAACGGTGAAAATCAAAATAATACTTAGAATCCAAAGAAATATATATTTAAATATCTTCGCAAATACAAAGAATGCAGCGCGACCTTATCAATCAATTATATCTACAAGTCTACTGTCATAACCGAATGCTGACAACATGAAATGTAAATTATAGATGTACGATTACTTCGAATCTTTAACAAAAACTAGATTTTGTGTCTGTCGTGACTTGCAAACGGCTCCACGTTTTCATACTATTCTGCTATTTAATTCAATGCTTGATTCAATCATTCTAGTAGAAAAAAAGTTTACCTGTTTATCAGTGGTTGAAAGAATTTTCTGTTATAGATACTGTGCCGGTTGGTCGATACAGTTGTGTTTTGGAAAATGAAGCAGCTGTATGGAAAGGTGAACCAACATGGATAGACTGTACTGAGCCACTTTCTAGTAAACCTCTAGATGAACAAGCAGAATATATCGCCACAGCAACGTCAGATCCTGATCTCCTGACTCCAGACCTTGTCGACGACACAGTCACAGTGCTTGAAACCGTATCAAAACAGACGGACCTGCCTCAAGAGGTATTATATTTACACCTTCCACGTTTTTGCCATTAAATAATTGAAATTTCAACAAATATTTTTATGTAACTCAAACTCTAAATCATTTCTTTTTACATCGTTCTTCTATTAAGACTGCAGATGATCTTTTATCATCGGTGAATAATCTCATGCTTGCTGAAAACAAAGAATCCAAAGCCGCCGTAGAAGAAAATTGGAAAAGGTTACTTAATATATTTTCAATAGCATCACATCTAGATGACATTATTATCAACTGTCGCGTAGCAGATATACACCAATCTTTGAGTAGCATAACTACTAACTACAACCATTTCATTAGTACCCAAACTTTTTCTTTAATTCACATTTTTCTTGGACATCTGCGACTTTTCGTCGTGCAAAGAGCATAAAATCAGTCAAGGGAGTAATAACTTTGGACTTATTGAAATAACATGTTAAATCAGAAATCATTCTATTGCATAAACAAAAACTATTATTGCCGATTTAGCATCTTGGAAAATGTGGACAACACAGCTAAAAATGTCAAACTGTCTACTGTGACGAGAGCCACACAATCGGAATACACCGATACACAGTCAAACCTGGCCCTTGGTGTTATATCGGACCCGTCAGCAGGTTAAAGTTCCTTTTATTATACACAGCTAACGTGTTTAATAGTTTTTCCCTAATCAGAACAACGTCTATTTTTATTTATTAATTATAGATATCTATTATGGAACAAAAGAAAGCATCAGCGGGTCAAATTCAAATTTGGCAGCATTATCTCCGGCATTCCATAGCAGCGTTCCAGAAGGAAGTTTCATGAAATCGAAAGCATCAGGGAGTGGTGAAAATTTAAAAAATATGCATGTTGCGCAGCGATAGTCATTAGCCTACTCTATTTTTCATGAGTTCATAGACACAGGTCATAGACTGAGTTTATGATGATTTTCCCCCCAGATATTTCATTTGTGGAGTTTTCTTCCATCAACCAGACAGTCTAACGCTAACCAATCAGGTTTGGTTTCCCGCGACTTCTCTTCCCCAGTAAAATTACGTTCTCGTCATTTATATTCCTTTCGTTCATCAGTTTGCTGGCTGGGAAAAATAAACGTTACTACGACTCAAGGCAATATTCATATGAATTATCTAAAAACAACGTCAGCTGATATCCGTTGACAATCACATAACAGGTATTGGTTTGTGATCAATCCTTAGGCATGGACTTGAAGACTAACAAAAATTGCTTTGAGCATACCTTAAAAAGCAAACATACCTTATCAAAGAACTAAGCATGAAAAATTTATATAATGGAAATAGGAATGCACCAATTTAATGTGTTTTGTAACAGGTCATCTTCAAACGGTTTGTGAACAAAATAAATAGAATGCTTTGGGTGTAAATCCGACCATTATTCATAAAACCGAGTGCGTTAAATTTTTCAGGTCGAATCTCATTCAAAATGTATGTAGCAGAAAATAACCTTTTTGAGGAAGCTATTGACGTAAAAATAGTTAAAGTTGTCTTATCTGTGTCTGGAACCGACAGTTTCACATTGAATTTTGAGACAGAGAGGGAATATGTGAGTATTGTAGCAATACACTAATTCATAATTTATGTTTAATTACTAACATAGATGTTCACTATTCAAGCTCATCACTGACTCGATCAATGGAAGAATCAACAACACTTTTGCTTTGGACTGTTCACGGTGGGAAAGATCTAATTCTTCGTGGATTGCCGGACAATGCACTTCGCGTAAAACCAACGGAAAATATGTTTCGTGCGATTGTAGTAGAAGTGGAGAATATATATTACGAGAGGTGAGCGAAATAAATTATCATTGCCGCGTGTATTTATTTCAATAAAACTGTATATGTGCATGAACATACCACAAACTGTTGCTATTTTTGTACAAGTTGGCCGAAATTGCTATACTAAATCATCTAATTTGATTTATGCTGTAAAAAAAATTACTAAACTTTTCAATTAGCCGACGAAAACACATGTAGCATGTGAAAGGTAGATTACAGTCTATATAAGACATATTGATATTGCTAGCAATGCGGCAACAAGGTCATATTCCAAAACAAATAAAACAGCTTGTTGGTAGTACTCACTAAAACATTTGCTACTTACTTGGGCTCTTGTTGTCAAAAACGTATTTTGAAAGACACCAAATTTGAATTACCTAGAATCCTAGACTACAGGTACATACCGCTATTCACAAACTTGTTATTATACTTTCAGATCAGTATCGAACCCGTTGACAACAGTCTCAGTCCAGGAGCGATAGCTGGTATCGTCATTGGAGCTGTGGTGGGCGTGGCGTTAATCGGTGGAGTCATTTATTACTGTTGCGTCTCGAAGAAAAAGAAGAAATCCCCTAAAGTTGATCCTAATGATGAGGGAAATGAGGTAAATTATTGTGATTTAGATTTGAAGTTCGCATTTTGGTTACTCCACTCCATCTTTGCTTTTCTCGTCAATTTTGCTAATGAATAATCGATGAGGATTTGAATATTTACCCAACAATCCAGACGCCTTCAACACATGAACATATCCACAACACTTGAAAATATTCTGTAAACTTCTCTCATTTGCACTAAAGAAGTGTTGTCATCACTAAGAGGTGCTTAGACATCGGAAGAATAAATAACAAAAGACTGGACACTTTTTGTGGCGTTTTTTTTTTTGAACGTGCATGCACATATTTTAATTCGCTCATTACCTGAGCCGAAAAATTGCTATGTTGCTGTGCACGACCCTATATTTTTCGTTGATATTCGCTGTTTTCTAAATTGCGCATACGGCATATTTCGTGGTATTTACGGATAAAAATCAAACATTTGTATTTTGTCAAGTTCAATTATTTTGAAGAATAGGACTCGTATTATAAGCTTCATTTTTTTATTTGTATTAGCACGTTTGTTTTGCGCGTTTCACTTTGTGTTTTGGATTCATTCATTTTGATAAATAACAATATTTACACTGCTGTGTGTGTGATTTTATTAATGATGAATTAACACAAACAGATTGTATTCAGTGTGGTACATCTGTAGCATTGTGAACTATTTTATGGTCATGTTTCGTTTTGTTTTATCGAATTCGATAAGCGAAGATGCATCAAAATTATTTTTATTTTGCAGAACCGACCTAAGTCGACACAACAAAGCGTAAACGATGCATTTGACGAAGATGAACCTTGATACATTTTTGCAAATGAAAACATTACTATAGTTTTTTTCCGAAATAATCCGCACTTAATTCATATTGTTAAACACTATATTAGTAATATTATAATACATCCAAACGATATAATTTGAAACGCGTAGAAGTTCATGATATGAAATCTACACGAATACCATTCTTTTGAGCTCTATCACCTGACTTTAGGTCTACTTTATTAAATTTATTGGCACACTTAAAAAAAATTTTGCTGATATGTCATAATTTCACAATACATTCATCGAAAAAAAAAAATTAATAATAGTTCGTCAGCGCTGTAAGGTAATTGATGAACAAGATAGTGGAAAATGTTGGGTTTTCACGTTACATGGACCGGCGCTCGACAAACATGAAGCCCTATTTGGGCGGTCTCCCATCTCAACAAAATGTGTAAATTTATATTAAAAAAATGCTTGTCCAACTTCATTTGTATTTGGTACTAATAATACATGTAAATCAATTTCTGATTTGAGAATGATAGAATCAAAATTGTATAGAGTGTTATAAAAATACGATTGCAACGACTATCTTGTTGAATATTTTGCGATTATGCGGTTTGAAAATTTATCTAATCTTGTTAGATTCGAATCTTACGATACAGCTATTTACGCGCTCTATTACAATATTTTAACAACTCTGACATCTGAATTCCAGCATAAGTAATGAAAAATATTGTCGTTATTCATCATGTGTTCGCCAGCAAACTGGCTTGCTCAAAATCCCAACTTTCTAAAGTAAAATAAGGCTAGTCTATGCTTACTAGAAATATCGTTTATTGCATGAATTGAAGAAATGATTTTTGTGTCCTACTATGAAATTATATAATCAAAATAAGCATGACGCAAAATTTTCTTCAATAAAGAAATGATTGTAATAAACTAATGAGATTAATTTCGACTAAATTTTATATAGCAATTTAGTTCGGTTTGCATATGCTACTGATTCTGTTTTACTTGCCCGGAACTGAAAACACATTCTATATATAATTCAGCCACGATGAAGAATTTTTTGTTTATTTCGAATAGTAGCTACATTTGTATTATTGTTAAACTAATACCCAAGAGTCGTTTGCTTTTTTTGTTTCTACTCATTTTCAGCCGTATATATGTTTAGAATTACTAAGCCGAAAGATCCAATAATTTTTAAAGCTTACGCCAATTTTATGCTTAGATACTTGTGTAAAAAGTGTTTTCTGTAAAGAGAATCTGAATATTATCTTATTTTCATACAATGCAATAAAAATTAAATTCGTATAATGGGTATGTGTATTTCTTATTGTATTGTATAAGCTCCCATTAAAAGTAAAAAAAAACATTAATGCCCAACAATCACTAAATTTTGTTACAGTTCGTGAAGTGCAAATCATTTCCTCGCTTCGATGTTTACAACTGATTTTCTTAATAAACGCGTTGTAATCTTCTTTTTCTCAACCAAAACTTGGGGACATCTTGCCTTCTCATTTTCTTGATGGCTTGATCAAAGTTTGTGAAAACAAATTTCGTCGCAGCAAACTTTCTGTTCAAAAAACCACCCTCCAGAAATCACTCGTCGTTTTTCATTATGCTGTTCTGCGCACCAGCAACTGCAAACGTGACGTCGGTTGGAAAAGCATCGGCAGCATGTGGTGGTGGAATTAGAGGTCGAGGAAACGATGCGAAAGGTAATTTGTATTTTAATCCCAGCACGTCCTTCGGAACGGCCTCCACTTCAAGGTTGTAGTTATTATTGTGCAACCATGGCTTGTAGGGAACGATAATATTGTCATGTACTTCATTTCTATCCAAAATATTCTCAAAAATGAGTGGTCTTCCATAACAACTAGGAGCCTTCATCGATAAAAACAGAATACTTAGCTTCAAAACTGAAAGCCTGATATCCATGTTTAATGTGATTAATATGCATACCAGGCAAAACTTAAAAATGAAAACGGTAATGTTAGCACTCGTAATATAATTGTAAAATATCCACAAGACAGCAACCAGATTATTTCACGACTTTCACATTCAAATCTAAACTGCCTCATTGAATTTGAATATTTTAACTAACATTGATATATCGAGTAAGAGTCGAAAAATTAGAAAATTATAATAAATGATTTATTTTAGGTAAATTATAGCTTACCCCACTTGCAATAAAATATTATTCAACAGTTCTTGTATTATGAAAAAAAGGTGTAATGACAAAATTTTTGCTAGAAAATATGGCGATTCCACTATTCTGATAACTTTAGATTACATATTTTACAAAAAAAGAGAGATAACTTTGCTGATGCATGATCATTATATATTTCTATGAGCAAATTTCAAAACGGCAAAATCTTGGATCACGTTTTGTACTTAAAACAAATTTTGAAAGAACTATGAACGTTTCAATAAACTTTGTTAAAAATTCAACTTTTCTCAAAAGTTTGCTAAAACTACCATTGCAGCATCACTAGCTTTCAAAATTCTCGTCTGATCTACGAAGCATTTTCTTCTGCTCTTATACCTTTCAGCCGACAACACTCCTAACGAATAGCAACATGTATTCATGTAGTTTATGCTACGCTGTCTGATCGTAATGCGATAACCATGTTCTCGGGTCATCTTTTCCATTATTAATTTAGTAGCTAATATACGGACGAAAACTTTGCGTTACGCAATGCTGCGAACGAATATTTCTACCAGACAGTCTCGGATTCTTTACTCCTTCCCTTTTACTTTTAAAAAATGGTATTGCATTTGATTTATTGTCACAGAACAGCACGGAAACCCCTTGTGAGTCAATTTCAGTGAATATACCGACCCCCATGAGTGTGTACGTGCGAGCAAGCACCTTCAAGTAAAGGATGTTTCAATCGATTGATCGCGCAAAATATGTTTTCATAAATTTATTCATTGATATAAATGTGCTTAATTTCTATATCGTAGTTAGCAAGTTTTGTAAATCATTAAGTTTGTTGAAAATAAAACATATATTTCAGAAGGTTTAAATTCAATCTCGCACCTATTCCCATTTGTCGCCGAATCAGGACTGTATCTACGTTAGGTATCAGAAGATGGAATAAATTAATAGAGCAGTAAAGAAATCGTTTGATTAAAAAGATTTTGAAGTACTTTTTAATGATATTAAAACAATCTATTTCTCAATCAATTATTGACATCCGATTTACCTGACATAAGTTCACGTCACTATGATTAGTTTTGAATCTATAATTTATTCAATACCCGAACTACAGTGCATTCTTGATTCGTAAGATAATTATCAAAATGAAGTATTTAACACATGCTATCGTAACATTGTACACCTATGGTGCAAATATTATTTTACCGACATGTTTGCTGTTTTTATTTGCATTCATTTTAACATTAAAGATCGTCAGATTATTTGATAATTCTGCAAATGTGAGATCATCATTATCAAGACTGTTGAGGGAAATGTAATATCGATTTTATCCCAAAGCTTTCATTTTACACGTGACCATAATATCGGTGTGCTTAAGATATTATGTTCGTATGATATATTCGTGCTTCGTGCCAGTGAAAAGAGAATTCGATTCCTCTTGGTTATTCCTTATTCGTAAAATTAAATTTAAATGGTAGATTTAAGTGATTTTAAAAATTCGTGAAATGCGTGGTTTATGTAAAAGCCAGAATGATGCAAAAATGATGATAGTGTAAAATCGAATAGGTATCTCAAAACGTATTGCCTTTTTGATTTGAAGATAGGCGCTGGGTATTCAATTCTTGCAGACTTGCTGTGAAATAAATTTAATAATAATCAGAATGATCAGACGTGGTATTGTCCTTTTCGTCTTCAAGAACTGCTAAATGTTACACGTGCATGGTCCAATGATGTGTACATCCAGGAATAACAAAAAAAATATTCCGGCGATCGGGTACATCTAATTCATAATGTATGTAGGTGTTTTGCGAGATGATAAATAATGAAAAGTAATCGCGTGTCTGACAAGATAATTTCAGGTTATACAAAGAAAATCCGCCAACGAAGTAATTTAATTAGCGATCGTAAACATGATTAAATAGATTATCTTAATAGCAAACATATTTTCATTACTCACACTTTCATGTGATATATCACATTGACGGTCTCTGAATAAAAACGTAGGAATAAAAGTATATTGCGCATATATATCTCTTAATTTCAATGTGGTGAGAAGTGAAAGACAAATTACTGCTTCATCAAATATTAAACATGGACAACTATTTAAAAAGTCATTTTAAATTACTTCGCATATTATACAATGAATGATATTTGATAACGTTAATAGGTATTTTTATGTTTAAAGATAAAGTGTGATATATAGAAAAACGGCAAAATATTTAAAGAGAATTTTTTCCAGCTTTAAAATTCCGTAATTATATAAGAATAAAAGTCATTTGCTACGAACGACATGTTGCTGAAGTTTACTTTGTTGTGTTACGACGGTAAAAGCTTTTGCTTTCATACAATATCGGAACATTTTTATTCAGATTAATTTTGGAGATAAACTGGACAATCTATTTGCTTTGCGTAAACATTTACTTATAATTATATATCATAAAAATATGCCGTTATTCTTCAACAGGTCGTGGAAGGTCGCAATCCATCGTTGACGTACCACTAGGCTAAAGCGAATCTGTCAAATGTATCGATTTACGTGGTATACATATTCTCTATAACAGACATTGCTTACAAAAGCTTTTTCGAACATACATCCAACCGACTAGTGGAAAGCACTCCGATGAAGCCAAATATTAACTCTCCAAGCGCTTCATACATACGCATTTCATGGTACGGGGGTGAAAATACCCCTTTCCACGTAACGTGTGATAACGTGATCTTGTTCCGTCTGTGAGAGGAGAAATTTTATTTCTACTTATTGATGTCATTAAAGTGCCAACAGCGCTTGCATTAGCTGTCTTTTAATCACAAAACCTGCGTGTTTTTAAAACTACATATTTCTGAATATAACGCATTAGTTTAGGGCGCCACTTTGCTTGCGTTTTGTTGTTTATGCTGTTGCGTTGCTAAAATGCACCGGACCTTGCTTACATATATTTTCGGGGAATTTTTGATCAGCTTGCGTACGTAATAAACATCATGAAAACATGCATTTTTTTCTAAAAAAAGTTAACGATTTTTTATATTTATATCGGGGAGAGGAAGCCGATTACACGGATGAAAGCGTATTTTATAAGGAAATTTACTTGAAGCAAATGTCAGGCGCACTCACTCAGAAATAAAGAACATTGATCTCTACGGGCAACCACTAAAGTGCCAAAAATTATTTACCATAAATAATTGTTGTGTAGAATTGTTCACTAGTATACATGGCGAACCGGAAGCTGAAAATAAGTAGGTGCCTAATTAGGCTAGGTAATCTAGAGTAGCGAGCAGTTCGTTAGCTGGAGAGAAGGTAATTTTTCCATATAGCATAAATCGTAATGAAGTACATTTGTGTCGTAATAATTTAATTCAGCAAGTTCATTTACGCCAAAGTGACCGGCTATACTTCAATTGCCGCTTGCATAGCCACGGGTTCTATCTGAAGCAGAAACCAATATATATATATAGTAGAGTTACTGTATTATTTGACGACATTTTGTTAACCCATTTTTATGTTGTCAGAACGTTTATAAGGCTACCATTACAATTATATTAATAGTAGTAATAACGCCTAAATTGGCACTTGTAGCAATGAAAAAAACCTTCCGCTGCAAAAAAAAAGCGAGATGAAACTCGTGAATTGCAAAAATGATAAAACTGTCGGGAAGTTGAGTGGAGATTTGGTGGAAAACTAAGAAATTATCTGTACGTGCTACAAAGGGTACTTAATAAGCCCATCGAGAAAAATGAAAACGCCATCGCTGCTTCCTCCTAAATTGTACTAGAGAAAGTTGTTGGCTATTTGAAGCCCCTAACAGCTCGAGAATGCATTGAAGTTGTAGCAAAGTTGATGTTTCCGAACGCAAGCACATATTTTTGAAAAATCAGCTTTCCGGGGACTACCGTTTCTAGAAGGACTGAAAACAAAACGGCGAATATATTATTGAGCAACTGGCTTTTGATATTAGATTGAAGTTGCCAGTTTTCATCCGTGCTGTAGCAAACATGTCTGTTTATTATAAGGATTTTATTGGACCTCATCCTCTTCATTCATGGCACAACACGTGGTGCTAACATAAAGAAAGCTTTGCTAAATGTGCTTCTTTATAGTTTACCTCTGTCAAAATTAGTTGAATTGGCGGCAGATGGGCAGCTTCTATGACTGGTAAAGAAAATGGCGCTGTGACACACATGAAGAAGTGGGCTACTTGCAATATATGATTTATTCACGACTTTATTACTCTTCATCGCTTCAATTCACCAAGAGTCACTTTGCGCTCGAAGTTAGGATAGGATACCAAAGTTTAAAGATGACACATGTTATGGACGTAGTGGTGAAATGTGTGGAAGGTTATGCAGAGTGCACGTAGCCTCCTTAACGAAATTGAAATCAAAGCAACTGGCAACGTGATGCAGTTTAAAAGTATGCCTTTGTTTTTGGAAATAATTGAAGGCATATCGACTATTTGGTGGGAGAGCGAAAGAGGCATATGCCATATTGTCAATGAGTTTTTTGCCGATGCTTGTGAAAATATGGTCAAGTTCGTTGGCAGAGTGCTTTTGAAGTCGTTTCCAAGGTTCTTATACCGAAGTATTGAGTTCATATCGATCGGTATGACTATTTTGTCATGTTTATCGAGGTATTTTTACAGTAATGAAGAAGTCATTTCGCGTTAGCTACCAGTATAAGTACAGACATATCTTTGGTATCCTACTATTACTAAACCTAACTTAATACGTAGTGTACAACTTGTTCCCAGGAACGTCAACGGCGGAAAACTTGTTAGAGCTGGGAACGTCCCGATTGAGAGTAAGCCTACTAATTCTATAAATAACAAGGTTAATTATTGCCTGCCAGCGCTATCTTGAGACGATGCTGTTCTCGAATAAAAACGCTTCGCGGCAGCCATAAGTTTTAAACTTTTTTAAGGTTGCCGCTGACAAATAGACCGAATGGTCATTTCGTGGTTATCCTGTATGTCCGGTACAAAAGCATGAATATATACAAGTATTTCATGGTCTTTCTTGTTTTCATTTTATCGTGCTTTTCCGGGATGGCTGATAAGACACGATACGATTGAAGTCATCTTACTACCTCCCATTCCAGGCCGGTGTATAATATAACACAACTCTCAATACACCACTGTTTGCTTTAAATTTATCCGAAAAATACATTTAAATTTTTTTGTTGTGCTTTAAGCATATGAGAAATGCATCATTACAAGATTGTCATTAAAAAACTCCGTGAGTCAAAATTAATATGGATCAAAATAAAAAAGACATTGCATATGATCTTTTAAAAATTATTGCTCACATTTGAAAAATAATTTCTTACCATAAGATAGCTATTGCTAAGGGTAAAAAACAATTAGAAAGGCAACTTGAATGATTGAATTAAAAAATGACAAAATTTTGAATATAAGGAATGCAATTAGAAAGAAGGCTTTCTTAATGAGTAGGGCTTGTAAAAAATTCCGAAGGCCAAATGGTAATTCAAATACTCTTCTACAACAACTTAATTAAAAAAAAAAATCAGTTACTTTGAATACTTTAAAATCAAAAACACTGATAGGAAAAGGTTGTGTGTGAGTGTTTTCGAATGCACACTAGTAAATATTTGCACAATGAATATTTTTTTACGTATTGTAGGCACAAACAAGAGAAAATTCAATGCTGTAAAATAAAAACCAGGCAAATAATGAAGATAATATCCAATACGATGTGTGTATTAAATAAAAAATCCACTATTCATTGTCGGGAATATGGTTGTGAGGTCCGAAGAGTCATTTGAAACATGATTCCAAATCCAGGCTGAGAGAAAATTTGACTCAGATTCTAGTAATTTTGATAAAAATAAAAAAAACTTGTATGGGTGCACAAGGGGGTGCTGGGGTGGGCTTATTTTGATCATCTGTTAAAAAACAATAGTCAACCAAATGCTTTTTGAGGTTCGGCTGGAAAATTTGGCTTAAATTTTCACCATTACATGTGAGAAATTCCTACCCACTTCAGCTCAGGAGAGTTTGAAAATACAACCCTGGCTCTGAATCCAATTTTCACAAAAACATGCCAAGCTTTGACAGCTCCAATGTTTGATTGGGTTATACAGGCAGGCCAGAGCACAACAGTTCAGGTATGGAAGGGCCAATCTTTGCTGTTTTCAAAGCTCGATGAGAATAAATTTTTATATTCATCATGGAATCATATACCAAAACCAAGGGAGTGATATTGAGTCAGAGAAACGAATTTCTTAACCATGACAGACACCTTTTGAATTGAAAAAAAAGGCTTCATATAAAAAAGTTCCACTAATTGGTATGTATCTAATGCATAACAACCACTGAGAGACAGAAAGGAGAACGAGTACCGTATGTATAAATTGAGGATACATGGCCTGACAATTTATATGTTAGAAAATGATAGCAATCAAAACCACTGCATAATACAAATGATTTAAAAAAGACTACCATTGAATATATTATACCAAAATTAAGACATAATTTGCAAAGTGCAACAAGCCTGGTAGGCAGAATGTGTAAATTTTTTAAGCAATAAGTTAAAAGGTACTGGAGACATTGTGAAGAATAGTGGAACACAAAATGAAATAACTATTCAATAAGCGAAGCTCTATGTAATCTATTCATAGGCCAAAAGTGCCAAAGGGCAATGCACTTTGAGCACAACCATGTTATGCATGATAATCTCGTAACTGGATGACATTGAATATACTGTATAATATATATATATATAACGAAACAGCATGAATCTCAATACTTCAACATACTCATATAATAATAAAAACTTAAAAATCAACAATTCTAAAAATATATGCAATATTAAAAATAATTTTGATATTTGGTACACTTTAATCATGAACTTTTTTTTCACATTACAGATAAATACTGGGAAATGTTTCAGAAACCTTTTCATAATCATAAAATTTACTAGTCAATTGCAAGAAATACATAAACTGATAGAAAACTCACAAATTTTATCTGGTTTGAGTAATTTTGAGATCACCAAAAAACTGGCGGCTATGATCAAGATGATCCAGGAGTAAACACAGCGTGGGAATTTAAAAATATTATTATGGGACAACTGCTAATAGTAGATAACTAGATTTTAATAAATTATTAAACATTATTATCATTTGTTTAGTAAATATGGGAAGGAGTTACATAATTTGCTTTTTTATTAAAGACTACAGAAAAACATTCAAATATTACGTAACAAGTAACATTAGGTAATACTTTGTCTAATCATCTAGTAAAATGGTGTTTATAGATGACAAGAAGGCTTGATAAAATGCAATTTATTTTGAAATGTTTCAAATCGCAATATATTGCACAAAACTAGGACTATGAGCATCATTAACCAATAGTCGAAGATTTTATTCCTTATTTCAAAAAAAATCAATGCTTTAAATCAATTAATAACTATACATTATCATATTATTTGCAATGAACATTGCAGCAATACAGTCGAGGCCAATTTACAATTGGGATAAAATCAAAAAAATTCTTAAAAAAGGCAATCCCAACAAATTTTAATATTATTTAATAATCAATCGTTGGTGCATTCTTGTTAACAATATACCAACATTTATTTTATGCAACTTAAATAAACCAAAAAAAAAAAATAACAATTTCCACAAAAATGAGTATTTGATATGTTGTCTTTTTAAAGATATCTAGCAAATTGAACATGTTAGTGAAAGCAAAGTTTTTAAAATTTTTTTTTATATTTGTAAATTGTGTTTGGTAAAGAATTAGTTGGCCTGCAGGAATAATTAGTATTATTTCTGTCACATTTACAGAGGGGATGCTTGAATTCAAATCAGAGCATTAATTACAATAGGGGGTCACAAACAAAACTAAATGTCGACATGCGTGAACTATTGTTACATCACAACATTGATACTGGTCATTTAAGATTATAAATTTGAAGAACATGCTATTAAATGAGAAGCCGCAAAAAAAAGTTGGCTGTGACAAGTGGGTCATGATGAAAAATGTTTGAAGAATACTACAATATTTACAACATTGTATAGAATTTATCGTTTCCAAATGCCTAACAGGAACGCACGATACCTAGTGTGAATACAACACAACTACAATTTCGATTTAATATGAAGAAAGCCTGGCTCTAATGACATTACAAGGAGGTTCTCAATTAACTTGAGGTATTCTTCAGGATGATATTTAAGATGCTGTGCATGTCCTGAATCGTCCCACATTTTATATACAACTGGTTGGTGTTTGCTCCAAGATTGATAAAACTCTTCGAAAGCCTGAAATAGAGATAATAAATACCTAGATTAAAAACCTTATACCAGGAATATGAAATTGCCATCTGAATTTATTGATTTGATTAGGAAATGTTCAATGATACGTAGCAGATACAAGGAAGGGTCAAACTAAGGTAGAACCATGGATTACATAAATAGAAAATATGACGACAGCAGAATGGAACACTTATATAGAATTTACTATATGGTAAAACCTACTGCATATGAAGTTAGCTATTCGTGGAAATAATATACAAGTAGAATAAATATAATTATGGTCTATGGAATACACCACCCTTGTTTTGAAATGCTAAAAAAAGTGTATGAAAATTGTCATGAAAATTAGACTGAAGCATACCTCGGGTATAAGCATTGGATCTTTCTTGGAAGACATCATTAAAGATGGAACTTTAGGAGCCCTAAATTTTATGATTTCTATCGCTTCGTTGTAGTACTTCACCGTGTGTTGCTTAGTAAGAGCAAAGTAACACATGCATATGTGCTTATATATTGATGCCAACGAGGCTGAATTCTGGCTCATCATATTGCCAACACCAATGGCCATTTGGTTAAGCGTACCCACAACAGGACTGTCCATTATTTGTACAGATATATTGTGCAATATCTTATTTTGAAGGACGGGGTGACTTTCCATTTGCATCAACATCAATGAGTAAAAGTAACATCCAATAGAAAAGGAGTGCACAATTATATTCCTGTTTGTTTTCTCATTTCCAAGAGTAAGTATATTTTCAAGCTTCCTTAAAAACATCATACTAGATTGTAGTCCAGATTTTGGCCACAAAAAGTCTTTCAAACTGGCATAATGAATTAATGTCTCAAATCCAAATTTTGAATACAAATTCTTATATTTATTAATACCCGCATTTGTTGCCCCAAGCCATGGCATTATAACTACTAATGGTGAAGTGGTATTGTTTATTCGAGATCCTCCTTTAGCATCAAATCGGTGAATAGGCTGAGAAGAATCCATATAGCTTCAGGAGGTTTCGAAGCATTTGAGCGCTGAAGTCCTTGTTGAGCATAAACTTTTAGTGGGTTTTATTACATACTTTAGCATAACTGGGATAAAGCAGTATAGCTTCCTGAACTTTTTGAAGATTAGCTAACCAACAGACGACATCACACTTCTGCACTTACAGCAGATACCATACCAGTATTAGCGTACAGAGGTCAGTATGAAATGGAACACAAAATTTTACCTGAAAATAGATACGATAATCAAATAATACTGAAAAATGAAAGAAAATGCTGAAATGGGGAATCGGTAATACCTATGGTACGGAAATCTTTCTATGGTATTTTTTAACATGCCTGCATGCGGTAACTTATGTTCTTTCGATGCTGCCACAGGATTCTGGGATTACCGGTACTGGATTAGACTACAGCTAGTAATATTTTACTAGTATACAGGTACCAGTACCGTATACCGTACGGTACCGATAGGTACTTATAAAACCTGGAAACATGTGTTTAGAATAATTTTATTTAGTCTATCACTTGTTTCTAAACCTTGTGTCAGCATGCCATCGGTTGTCCATATTCATCATGGAAGAATCCTAGACCTAATTAGATAGATAGATAGATAGATAGATAGTTTATTTCGAAAACTCCATAACAAACCTAAATTAAAAATGGAGAATTCTGGAGGGCAAGCAAAACCTACAAAAAAGTTTAAAACATGAAGTATCTCATGTGCCTGCCCACCAGCACGCACACAAAAACACAAGCCCAATTAAATGAGGCTTGGGCCAAACTTAACAAACAAAATACACGATAGTAATAAACTTTCGGGCTGTTGTACTCTCTTTCAACAATTACGTTGATAATGACCAATACCTACAACCTCATGCAAAGATAATGTGGGGAGTGGAATGTAATAAATTTGCGACGATAGTCATACTCATGAAGCCATGAAAGCTTTAAGAAAAACCAAGCCATGAAAAACTACACTGATTGCTAGATTGGGCATTGCGGAAAAGGTGATAAGTGGTTTAATATACAAACAAACGCAAAACCATGGCGGCAAATTCGGTGTGCGGACACTCATAAAAGCAATTATTAGGAAAAACACTAATCACACGTGAGCAGGTCTGTAGCCTAATTGATACATTGACGTGGCCAACATTGTTAAAACAGTACCGGTATACACACAGAGAGAACAAATCAAAAATATGCCACTAAATGAATGTTTAAAAATGTTACACTGTAAGTTACACTGCAAACTATTTACACATATATAGTTGAATACTCAGTATTCGAGCGGTATTTCGAGAAATAGCAGTATATCATACTCTGTCACAAAATAAAATATCTGAATCAATCCCTGATGTATTCATCTTTCGATTCTGTTATGATGTCCGTATGTTGCCTTTATGCTGCCATATAATTTCATATTTCGACCTTTACTTGTTGATATTCCTTAAGTGTTGGTTCATTGTTGTCAATCTAATCTTTCTGCGCCGTTCAAAAATGCGACGCGACCGCACCCGACGACTGCCAAACACAAACTTTAAATCCAATCTTTTATCCATAAACTTCTTTAATTCCGGTGGATGGGCCTTGATCATGTTGATATCACGAGATACAAATCTAATAGTAAATACCGAAACACACAGCGCTTAGCATTCTCAGTCCAACAGCATTGATTGATCTTTCATCTAACATCTAATTCTGTACCGTAATTCGAACTACGTCGTAACTCAATTTTGCGATCAGTCAATTGTCAACTCTTCATTTCTGCCTGATTTTCCTTTGGATAGCTAACCTATATAGGTAGACTACAACAGATAAAAAAAACGCACCTCTCAAAAATTGCAGCAAATCCTGTTTACCTCTATCGTTACGTAACAATTAGGGTTGGATTATCCGGATAACCGAGAAGTATTTTGCTATCTGATATCCGGGTATTATTGTGGTGGTTAACCGGATAATAAAGTAGAAAAAATAATGCATATATGGTCATTAGTAATTTTGTTAAGGGGCGGCTGACATCCCCCAGAGCATATAATCAACCCCATGTAACTCCGGAAATTTGATCCCGGAGTTGAATTTTCCGTCACGCTCGACTTGGTGCTGACAGATTATTATTGCTTCGAAAATCATCGTGCGACTTTCTGCATTTTTCTGTGTTCTGACGGCGCTGTCTCGCGTCAAGATTAAATGAGTGACTTATAAATATTCAAGTTAGTTGTGCACATGGAATATTACACGATATACTTGACTATAGAACTGATAGAATGCAGATTACAAAACAAAATAGAGGAACAATCAATTGAGTGGGAAGGCCCTACGACCGGTTCAGCACTCGAAAGCACATTGACAGTAAGATTTTAAATTCACTTTAAAGCTTCCATGAGTAGATGTAGTCTAGTAGAGAGCCGCTTTGTGCTACGATTGTTCAGCATAAAAAAGGGTAAGTTGTAAATGTTCTTATAGGTACCCAATACAGTAATGATTTGTCAAGGAATGTAAATTTTGGTAAGAGATATGCTGATATGTGTATTTTCGGATCATAAAAAAGTTGCAGTGTGAGGATTTATGCTGTGTGATCAAAGCAGCGAGCAAAAATTTAAATTGACTGATGGGTAATTGAAATTGTGACGTTTGAATAGAAAACATAAATTAAACACACATATTTTAACTTCAATTAATTAGTGTTTTATGATGGAGTTCTAACTGATCTTGATAATTTTTCCCAGACTCATTCTGTCATTGTATACGAAGTCACCAGCTGCATATTACAACATAAGAGGTGTTTTACGTTTGCCATGATAATCCATTTTGATTGATTTCAGGCTGGTACTAATAACCCTTTTTCACATAAATTGGATACCTATTATTGCCATTATCTAAACATGGCTTCAACATATATATATATTTATAATTTAGATGTGCCAAAAAGTTTTGAATTATTTTGTCGAGTGTTTTTAAATATTAATTTGTGATCAATAGCAATAACTTTTTTGCTACTGCAAAATCCACCAACATGTATTGAATGCATTAATATTTCTCCTGGAACCGTTACATTTTATCAATTCCAATTTGTTTGTGGGGTATTCACATTTTGTTTCAAATAATACTTTGTCAAAGTGGCTGTTATACTTATATATAAACACATAGGCCTACATGCTTAGATGGTAGACAAGGTTCAATCGTTGTGGGCAAATTTATTTTCAAAATATCGTAACTAAAATAGTAATTTTTGCAGACGTCTCGAAACTCACTTTTGAAGAATGATTTGCTGTCACCAGATGGAGTTTTGGCATGGAAACACATCTAGAGGGAATTTATGAAGATATGTCTAAAAAAACATTTGAAACAGCCATGTAAACTAACAGACCAACATGTTTAACTCAATAGCTTGATAAAAATGTCTGTTAAATATTAAGCACAGGTATAGCACAAAGAATTGTTTTGGGTATTAATTCATTTGTATTTACCTATTAGATCTATCTTCTATTGAGCATTTAAATACTTGCATCATGATAATTATTTCTAAAATTACCAACAGTATTCAGGTCATTAATAACAGATGAACCGGGGAAATTTTTCTTTGTAGGTTCTTCCTGCATCTGTTGCTAGGATTTCGGAGATGTCTGAATTTGAAGCAACGTCAAGTTTTGCAAACTGCAAAATACCTTTTTTGACATATGCAACAGCACTACTGACGTGGCTTCCCTCAAAAACGGAAATCTACTACTACTCTCTGAAACATCTGGAGACAAAAGACTGCAGTAGATCAGCTAAAATTTCATAAATTATTTTACACACTGGAAGTCTACAACATGTGATTAGCTCAAGGATTTTTTAACAAAATAAATGCTATACAGCTACATGCAACACATTCTGGAGTCATATTTAAAAAACAACAACATTTCATTGCTTCTCCAGCGTATAAAGGGCTCCAAATACTGGTACCTTCAACATGTGATATACCATATTAGACCAAACATCTGTCAGACCCCCCTATAAGTGTGAGATAAAAGTCTTCTAAATTGTTTTACTATATCATATATATAAATTTTTCGCGACTTGAAACACTTTTTAGAGTTAGACCATCGGGACAATTATAAACTAACATATGCGATCAGCACTGCTAGGTGTTTTGGTCTAACTTGTCAATTAAAAATTTCAGACCCCCCCTCTCCCCCCCTTCAAAATCCTCAGCTATGCCCGTAGGGCCTCACTCTAAATATTGAATAGAACCTAAATTGCCTTTTTACTCCAGCTAAGAACCACTCCCAAAGCCTTAAAAAACATCAATACCACTATTAACATAACTCGATATTCAGTGTTTAATCACATTAGTAATAAAAATAATAATTTGTATTTCTACGGATTATTGAGAAAAAAACTTGTGTACTCCAGAAATACGTGTACCAAGATGACGGACAACGGAACATAGTATGTGTACCAGGTTAGGCCATACTTTTAGGTACAAATACTACAAAACTCACTTGGTTAGTCCCTGAACTCGTAATAGAACTAGAATAAGGGAATATGGCCTAACCCTAACGTGGTACTCGTACTACGTTCAGGTGTCCTCATTTCTTGGTACGCATACTTCAGGAGTACGGAAACTTGACTGTAATCACATATATCTTAATCTCCGTTCTAGCTGCTGTTTTCTTCAATTGTTTTCGTATTCCATGAGTCCTATTGTCCATCTTGTTGTTATTATTTTGGCTGCAGTACTTTGCGTATACATTTGCTCAAATTTTTTGAATACTTTCTCAAGTAGTGTTGTTACATCTTGACATTCAGTTTCATTGTTTAATAGATATTCGGTCATGAATGATTTGAAAATTATTTTCTTTTATATCAAGTGGCGGATGTTCAATGATGTGATGATGGAAATAAATTTCAGCTACTCGCATGTGTTGGATAGCCTTTGTATAATCATTGACTCTTAAAAAAGTTATTTATAGATTGGTTTGATTAATTTCTTGAGCAGAGCCTTGTGTTTCTGTGTTGCATTATTATCAGAAATTGCTGCTTTACCTATGGATTCCAGATTGTTGTCACATTCACAAAAGCTGCAGTGCGCAAATCACTAGCCCTTCGTTTCGTTTGACGCCGTTGAATTCTTTCTCATAATCATCACGGCAAATTTTTTACGTTTACTCATTTTATCTCCTATGAAGTTCCAGATCTAAACTAAATCCAAAGTTTAATTTACTGGTATATTCATTCATAAGGTTTAAAAATAAGCACACACGTCAAAATAAAGATGTTTTTTAGAAATAAGGACAAAAATATTTCCTAAAACAAAGACCTTCAAAACAAGGACAAATTCTAAAAATAAGGACGTTATGGCAGCCCTGATTATAG